ATTAAAAGAGAATAAAGTCATGGCATTTGCAGGTTAATGGATGAGGTTGGAGAATATAATGCTAAGTGAAGCAAGCCAATCCCAAAAAACGAAAGGCCGAATGTTTTCTTTGATATGAGGATTCTGATTCATAATGGTAATGGGGGGGGGGGAGCATGGGAGGAATGGAGGAACTTTAGATAGGGCAAAGGGGAGGGAGGGGAAAGGAGGGAGCAAAGGGGTAGGAATGATGGTGGAATGAGTTAGACATCTTTACCCTAAGTACATGTATGTAAGACACGAATGGTGTGAAAATACTTTGTGTACAACCAGATATGAAAAATTGTACTCTATATGTGTAATATGAAATGAATTGCATTCTGCCATCATATATAACAAATTAGAATAAATAAATAATTTAATAAAAAATACAGTATTTAATGGAAAGCCAAAAAAAATATTCATTCCCTGAATAAATAGCTCAACCATCAACAGAAAATCAATAATTTTACTATTCTGTTATTGACTTGTCTATTTCCAAGTAATTCTGTCCTATGAAAATTGCTGTTGTGTAGTTGTTATTGTTTAAATGTTTTTTAGTTGTCAATAGACCTTTTAAAATTTTATTTATATGTATGCAGTGCTGAGAATCAAACCTCCCACACACTAGGCAAGCACTCTACCACTGAGCTACAACTTCAGCCCTATTGTTATTTTTATGAATATTTTTTATTAGTTGGGGGCCTTTTGGAACATTACCATTGATTTAGATCAGTAGACATGGTCAGATATTTACATCTCCCTATAAGTTGTCCTTTGATAGAATTTGGAAAGATGGAGTGAAATTTATAGTAGAACTTGAAGATTGATCTTGAAAAATTGCTCTGTGCAAATGCAAACTGAATGAATTGTGTTTCATACTGAAAGAACTGGGGAAGAGAGAAGAAAGTAGAAGACTAATCTTTTTTGCTTAGTGGAAATTCTTAAGCAAGCTATAGTTAAGCTCTGTACCTGTAACACATAGTGACAAAGCTGTTAGATTCTTAAAACAAATTATACCCAGTCCTATAATTTTTTCTGACTAATGTAATTTTCCAAAGAACGCCAATGTTTAACACATTCGTGATTTTTTTTCAACTCAATAACAATGAAAGGTAACAATTCTTTTTAACATCTATCATAAGTAGTAGCTAGAGCATCATCTTTGAAGCTTTTCTCCCCACTCCCCTTCCTTTTTGGGAAAAAGTGAGATATATATATATATATATATATATTTAGTTGTAGTTGGACACAATACCTTTATTTTATTTATTTGTTTTTTATGTGGTGCTAAGGATCAAACCCAGCACCTCACACATGCTAGGCAAGTGCTCTACCGCTGAGCCACAATCCCAGCCCCAAAAGTGAGTGTTTTCTTTAGGATATCCTCAATGTTTTCATTTATCCTTCTCACCAGTGATATTACGCATGAGATATTGACCAACACTCTATATCATTGATCTTTATGTCTTTATAATTTTAAAAATTCCTCTCCACCCAGGAAATTATCACTATTTCCCTTAAGGGTCAACTCATAGTTTCCCATACCTTTTAGCAATTAAATTACTGAGCCACAATATGTAATTATATAAGAATTTGATTATTATCTATCTCCATTTACCACCACTATCATTGTAAGTTCCTTGAGGTCAGGATTCTTGTCTGTTTAATATCCCATACCCTAATATGTTGGCACTAAGTAAATAATTTTGTATTTCTTTATATATTTATTTATGAGTCTCAAAATAACTTCAAATATAATATTCTTCTTGAATTGTTCCTAATCTTTTTATCCACCACTCCTACCTCACACCCCACTGAGATATGGGTTTTCACAGTACATGTCAGTGGAAATAGGAAAGTAATTTGGGTAATCAACCATATATCCAGGTTTTCTGGGACATCCCCAGTTTATGCCAATTTTCCTGGCATAACTATTTGTAAACACTCCCTTTATTCTCAAAAGTATCTCAGCTTGACCTGTAATTCAGATTTTCACCCTCTATAGAAACTGTTTCAGTACTTCATAGGGCCACATCTAGCAATTTTTTTTTTTTTTTTTTTTTTTTTTACCATTTTTTGAGTTCTTTGAGGACAGACTCAGTTCTGGTTTCTCTTCCTAACCCTGGGGCTTGCCAAAGTGTCTGTCACTCAGTGACAATTCTTTTGAATGAAAAGACATTCTTGCTATCTTGTCCCAAGAAGTTTGCACATAAAACACACACGTGCACACGCACACACACACACACGACACCTACACATGTTTTCAGAAAGATAACCAATATTTTTCTAATAATCTTCTTGCTTAGAACTTTAAATTGTAAACACAAGTTTATTTCTGCTAAGTTGTGTGTTTCTTTTCTATTTTATTAAGTGGCAAACTTTTGCAATTATAAATAGTGATTTTAATAAGGGTTCTCTATCTTTGTGGGATTTTCCATAAATTTAAATCTCTTATTGTATGTCTTCATAAACATTAGGAAAGTTTTCACACCTATGTCAGTGTGTGTTTTGTTTTGCTTCTGGGTACTGGGAATCGAACCCAGGTCTTTACTCATGCTAGGCAATCATTCTATCACTGAGCTGCATTCCCATCCCATCAATGCCAAGGTAAATAGAGCTAAATACTGGATAGTAGATAAGGAGAAATGTATTCTATGTCCCACTAGCTAAGAGAGATGGAATTTGTCTTTTAAAAGTACCTTTCATTTGCCAAAAGTGTACATAGAGTCCTTTAAATAGTTGCTTTCAGTGACTTTGGAGCTTTGAGTAAATTTAAGAGGAAAATCTCTGTCCTTTGTACACCAGAAATGATTATTTTGGGGGGTGTACCAGGACTTGAACTCAGCAGCATTCGACCACTAAGCCACATCCTCAGCCCTATTATGTATTTTATTTAGAAACAGGGTCTCACTGAGTTGCTTAGTACCTCAATTTTGCTGAGGCTGGCTTTGAACTCGTAATCCTCTTGCCTCAGCCTCCCAAGCTTCTGGGATTACAGGCATGCTCCACTGCACCTGACCAGAAATTATTTTTAAAAGAATAAAAGATAGCAAATGAAAAACTTATTTGGAAATGAACTTAGTAATAAAGATTTATGGAAAAGGAAGAAGGAAATGGGTGAATGTGTTTGGTTAATTCATTAAAGGGATTTTGTTAAGTCAAAAGTAATAGTGTAATCATTACAGAAGTCATTACATGCTGACTGAATGTCAGTTCTGATGTGTCACTTCTATATAAATATATTTCCAAGTGTGACTCCTAAAGTAATCATGCAGATATCCATGCCATTGTTATAGCTATTGGTGGCTTTTTTTCTTGTAGGCATAAATGGAATTCAGATGTAACTGGAAATTCCCAATATACTGCTTAGGTAGATGACTTGGTGTATAATAATGAGCACAGCTGGTGCCTGAGAATCTTGTCAGTACTTACAGGTTTTCCTCTTTTATATAGATTAAGAACCTACAGGGGCTGGGGATATAGCTCAGTTGGTAGAGTGCTTGCCTTGCATGCACAAGTCCCTGGGTTCAATCCCCAGCACCAAAAAAAAAAAAAAAACCAAAAAACTTACAGTGTTTCGTTCACTTTTCTAAGCACTTTCCTCACTCATCTTATGTAATCCTTACAATTATGTGAGATGGCTATCAATATCCTCATTTCACACACATGAGAAAACTGATATTCAAAGAGAAGAAAACAGGTTATAATTGAAACCTGCCAGGAAAGATGAGGTAGGTGAGAGGAGTTTGTAAATAAAAGTAGTCCCTAATTCTCTTCTGTAATTAATATTCTTTTTAAAATGTTCTGGTTTATCATGAAAGGTGTGTTGGTTTTCTCCTTTTTAAGTGATGGCTTCTTGGTCTATTGCCCAGGCTGGCCCCAAACTCCTGAGTTCAAGCAATCCTCCCTCCTCAACCATCAGAGAAGCTGAAACTAAAGGAGTGTACCACTGTAGCCATACAGTTTTCTCCTTTTGTTTACCAATTATAATAAATAAAAGAGGCTGCAGTGGGGTATAGTGTTACATGCCTGTAATCCCAGCTACTTGGGAGGCTGAGGCAAAGGATCCCAAGCTTAAGACCAGTGGGCAATTTAGCAAGACCCTGTCTCAAAATTAACACTTGTAAAGGGCTGGGGATGTATCTCAGTGGTAGAGTGCTCCTGGGTTCAATAACCAGTATCTCAAAATAAATGAACAAATAAATAAATAAGACTACATACATATTCGAGAGTATCTGCATACCACCATCTACATCTGGAATATGCCTATTTGTTACTCTTACAGACTACTTCAGTTGTATGAAAGCAATTTTAATCATTGTTCAGTCTGTTTAGTTGATGGGATTCCTGATATTTTGCAGAGTAATGCTAAATAGGAAATGCTCTTCAGGAGTGGATTTCAGCCTTAGCCAGGGTATGCTGAAGAATCTAGAAACACTTCTCTCACAGAAAAGAAGAAAAAAGTCTTTCCAAGGAGATACAAACACACACACACACACACACACATGTGCACACACCCAGAAATACACATACTTTTCACCCTGCTGAAATGCATTGTTTTTCTTTCTCAAACTTATAGTGACAAATGAAAACTTTAGCTGTATATTTGTATATGTATATGTGGAAATTACAACCTTACTGCCAACACTGATATTTTGTCTAGAATTATTAGAATTGAAGACTATTTTTAGTGTAAAGCAAGGCTAATCATTGTAAGCAGAAAAATCAAATGACAGAGAATCTGTAGTTTCTTAGGAAGAAACGTTTCTATTAGATTCTTTTTCAGAAATTTACTAAAGATGATTGTGGCATGTGTTTATTTGTAGGGACTGGTAACATCTGAACATACCAAACCAAACAGGCAAACTTTTGCACCATTGCAACCACATTTTACCACAGAGGAATGCCACTGTACAAGGATTCCAGGCAGGCTAAAAAGAAAAAGAGTTGATTAGACCTCAGACTATCCACTGAACGGGATGACGGCCACAGCTGCAGTGGAGACACCAAAAATGGAGAAGAGTGCCTCCAAGGAAGAGAAGCAGCATCCAAAGCAGGACAGTACCGAGCAGGGAAATAATGATTCTGAAGAGTGGATGAGCTCTGAGAGTGACCCTGAACAGTTGAGCCTTAAGAGCAGCAACAACAGCAGCTGCCAACCTGGAGATGGTCAGCTGAAGAGAAAGGAGATGCCCTCCAAGCCACACCGCCAGCTCTGTCGATCACCCTGCCTGGATCGTCCAAGTTTCTCCCAGAGCAGCATTTTACAGGATGGTAAACTCGACATAGAGAAGGAATATCAAGCCAAGATGGACTTTGCTCTAAAGCTGGGCTATGCTGAGGAACAGATTCAATCAGTGCTGAATAAACTGGGTCCAGAATCACTTATAAATGATGTATTGGCAGAGCTTGTCAGACTTGGGAACAAAGGTGACTCAGAAGGGCAGGTCAACTTGAGTCTATTAGTGCCCCGTGGGCCTGGCTCCAGAGAGATTGCAAGCCCTGAATTGTCTCTTGAAGATGAAATAGACAATAGTGACAATTTGAGGCCAATTGTCATTGATGGAAGTAATGTGGCTATGAGGTAAGACTAGTGATTTTTTTTTCTCTCTTAAAAAAAAAAAAAAAAAAAAAAAACCTGTCCTAAGCTCATATAAATTGTATTCCTTTGAAAAGAAGCCCTTAGTTGTTGTCTGTGTCTTGTAGACAGAGTCTATCATAATGCTGTCCTTGCTTTTTCTCTTTCCTTTGAAATTGCTACAAATTTATTTTCAGGTGTTTTGAAATCAGCTCTGATAATCAGTGATGCTTCAGAGGAGTCATAGCCCTTTAGCTCTTGGGGTCTGCTGTCACATCCTTACTTAGCTAGACTAATCATCCTGAAAATGCTGTCTTCATAGTTTCACTTGGAGACTTACTTACTGTCAGCAATGCTCAATTGCTCTTCTGCCAATTTTGGATCCCCTTGTCTGTCTCTGAGACTCCTTATGATCTGACCTTTTCCTCTTCCCATTTGAACACACCTATAATACTTATTGCATTTATATCATCCTTTTTAATGGTCTCCATATAAATTATGCTGATTTATAGTCCCTTTCCTGATACTCATTTCCCAACCTAAAAATGGCCTCCTTACCTTCATACTCTTCAAGTTGAACCATCTTCACAAAGGTTTTCCTGATTTTTATGATCTCATCAATTATCTCTGAGCTACAATTCCTCCAGTACACTGAAGAATAGACCCCAAATATGTCCAAAACTTAATCCTTAGAACCTATGAAAACATTATCTTATGTGAGAAAAGGGACTTTGCGGTTACATTTGTGTTAGGATCTTGAGAGAAGGAGATTAATCATCATCAAGGTGAATCAATGTAAGCACAAGAGGTCTTTATTAGAGGGAGCAGCAGGATAAGAATAAGTAATAGGAGATGCAATAGAGGAAATAAAAATCAATAGTATAAGAAAGGGGCCAGTAACCAAGGAATGTACTTGGCCACTAGGAGCTGAAAAAGACAAGGAGATAAATTCTCCTCTGAGGCCTACAGAAAGAATGCAGCCTTGTCAACATCTTGATTTTAAACTTCTAACCTCTTGAACTATAAGAGAACAATCAGTATTATTTTAAGCCACTAAGTGCCAAATACTATCAGCAATGAGATACTAATATAGTACCAATAGTGCATATATATGTTATTCTATACTCTTATGTGATTTTTTTTTATTTCATGTCAGAGAGCCTCACTAATCCCTTCTATTTCCCAAGTGAATTGTCATCCAACCTCGGCTTAAAATGCCCAATAATCAGGATCCTACTTCCCATCAGGTCCACCATTGCTTGATGGATTCACTTGCATTCCTTAAATCATACAAAACCAGAACAAAATAAAAGTGTCAGTCTGGAAAGTTTTAAATTATATTACCCCATTGTCTTTGAGGGTGTCAGTCTAGAAAGTTTTAAATCATATTATCCCATTGTATTTGAGGACAAGGAACTTGCTTTATGCATCCCTTATTTTTCCTACAACATGTGGCCCAGTATCAGGTGCTTCTAATGAGGTACAAGAAGTAGAGGTGGAAGTTAAGTCTTAAGAATCATACCATTGGCTGGCATGGTGGCACATGTCTGTAATCCCAGCAGCTCAGGAGGCAGAGGCAGAAGGATTGTGAGTTCAAAGCCAGCTTCAGCAATTTAGTTATGCCCTAAACAATTTAGCGAGAGCCTGTATCAAAAATTAAAAAAATAAAAAAGGCTGGGGATGTTGCCCAGTGGTTAAGACCCTGGGTTCAATCCCCAGTACTGAAAAAAAGGAACCATACCATTTCTATCTACAGGAATAGCTTGGCAGGCTATCTGGAAGTACATTTTAGTATATAGTCATGTTTAATCCACATAGCAACTTTATTCTACAGATTTGAAAACTGAAACTAAAAAGTTTAAATGATCTCTCTTAATGTACATAACTAGTAATTAGCAAAGGAATTACTATAACTTAAGACTTCAGGCTTTGAATAAATGAAAGACTGACATTTATGAATATCTATTTTATGCCAGGTCTTTTTTTTTTAAAGAGAGAGAGAGAGAGAATTTTTAATATTTATTTTTTAGCTTTTGGCAGACACAACATCTTTTGTTTGTATGTGGTGCTGAGGATCGAACCCGGGCCGCACACATGCCAGGCAAGCGCGCTACCACTTGAGCCACATCCCCAGCCCTATGCCAGGTCTTTTTGCATATGTAATTTAATCCTCACTGAAAATCCCACCACAATGGACTAATTCATTTCATTTTTGGAGGTGAAGAGGCTCGGGGTTTAGAAAGATTAAATAACTGTCCAAGGTTATATAGGTAATAAGTATCAAAGCTTAGAATCTGACTCTAATCCTCTTTTGATACAGCATCATGCAGTATTGTGTGGCCATTAATGTTATTAAGAATATTTGGCATTTCTACTAGTAGTAGAGAATACATTTACAGATTTTCTAATTTTTAAATCCTGATGGCATCAACACAAGGTGTATAAAGCAGACAAAACATCATCCCTGTTTTAATGAGGGGAAACCAGAAGTATAATAACAAGAAAGCTAAATGACCCAGATATAGCACTACAGCAATCAAAATGATGCAGTGGATCAATTAAAAGCAGAGGATGATTTTTTTACTCAAAAGTGAAAAAAAAAAAGAAGTATCTCAGCTCTTCTCCTAATAGTCATAAGCTAGAGTGATTCTTAAGGTTAATGGGTATATGACCTGCCCAACTTAATCTCTACACACACCAGACCACCCAGAACACCAGAGACTGGGCCTATTTCCCAAAACCTGCCCTTCTTAATGGGTTTTGTGTTTTAGAGTTGGAGATAAAAAGAAACCAGGTTTCTTAGGGATTTTGACTTTATGGTGATATAAGATTTTCCTTGTTCAATGATCCCTGAGGATGAAGGACATTCTATAGTTACTTTGTTTGGAAAGAATAGTGAAGAGATTAATTACATAGGTGATTAGTTTGAACATATCTAGTCTGTGCCAGTAGCAAATTATGTCTTGATGTGTTGCTTTGCTAAATTAAAGGTACTTCACATGAGTTTAATAAAGCAAAAAAAATTACTACTCAACTTTACTTTAATAGCATATTAAGACAGTACATAGTGGACCACATGATTTCTTTAGTTGCCAACTATGAGCTGGGCATCATGGCACATACTGAATTCCCAGCTACCTAGGAGCCTAAGGCTGGAAGATCAAAAATTCAAGGCCAACCTGGGAACTAGTAAGAACCTGTCTCAAAATATTTTTTTTTTTTAAAAAAGAGCCAGTGATGTAGCTTGTTGGTAGAATGCTTGCCTCTCATGTGTGAGACCCACAACTTAATACTCTGTACCAGGAAAAAAGAAGTGTTGCCAAATCTGTCCTTGTTAGTGTCTTTCTTATCTGGCCAGGTTACTTACCTACAGATCCCACTTATTCTCCAATCACATTTCACATGGTCAAAGTTCAGTGCTATAATCCACTTATGAATTCAGTACTGTTCTTAATCTAGTTTTCCCCATTAGCTGGCTATAGCTTTACCATGAGATTTGTATTTCTTATACAAATTACATGTTAACATCTGTTGTTCCTCAGCATGTTGGATAAGCCTATGTTTAAATTATGATACTTTGTTTGCCATTGATGGCATTTGTTTAACATTTGAAGTGGTGTACCTGTGATTCACATACTGTGAATATGCTAAGATATGTGCTAAGATCCTAAAGGGTACATTCATTCTGAGAGCTGTTTCCTTTGGGAGGAAAAATCCAATTCAGAGGAATTGGACTTTGAAATGTAAATGGCACTGGATTCTTTGTTAAGTCTGAAAGAAGCTCAAATATTTGAACCCTACTAAAAAATTGTAAGGGAGAAGCCAGCTATGCAGAATTTTGCTTGATAGCCTGGATCATGATATGTTCCTAAAGCAGTTTACAAGACAAAGTGAGGAGTAGTTTCACCAAGATTCAAGTTTCACTGTGACTGCAGGTTCTGAGCTTTTTAGCCTTTTTAAATTGCAAAATGACCTTTTATATGTTTGGGCAAAAATGGGTTATCTTGCAAGCATTACTTTATTGCTTTCTTTTTAAAAATAAATCCATTCCTTAAACATTCATTGGGCACTAAACTTTGCATACTGAACTCTTTTGTAGGTCTTCCTTGCTACTTTGATTAATATTACCTTCTGATTCTTACTGGGCATTTCACAGTATGTATCATGGAATGCTCAGTATGTAGTCATGGAATGCTCCAATGGCATAATTTTTAACAATTCTCAGTATGTAAAGAAATTGATATAAAAATCAAATGTATCAAAATATTGGCAGTGTTGTTTCTGGGTGGTAGTAAAACAGTTGGATCTTCAGGGTTTTCTTTATATTTTATACATTTTCCACATTCTATGCCATAAGCATATACATTTCTAATGATACAATATTTAAAACAAAGAATTTGGAAGTATAAAATATAAAGTTGTAGTATTCAAGAAAAAAAGTTATTCTTGTATTTATTTCTGGACCTAAACAATGTTTAAAACAAGATTATAGTACTGCAAAGCCAAACAAAATGAAATTTCATCCCCTTCCTCTAAATTACCTTTCTAATGATACTTTTGGTGATTTTCCCAAGTTCTGGTTTTTATTTTTCTTCCAGTACTGGGAATTGAACCCCATGCTTTGCACATGCTAGGCAAATGTTCTGCTACTGAGCTACATCCCCAGCTCTTTTTAAAAATCAATTCCCTGTCTTTTTATTAGTTCCTTTTAGTTATGCATAATATTGGGGGAACCATGAAATGAATCTGACCAAACTTTACTATGCACATATATGAATATATCACAGTGAATGTCACTTTTATGCAAACCATAATGCACTAATTTAAAAAATACTACAAATAGATAGAATAAATATCAGTAGATTAGAGGAAAGGGAACAAAGGGAGGGAGGAGGGGAGAGAAAGGGAAGTACTAGGGATTGATGTGGAGCAAATTATATTCCATCCTCACGCAATGAATGTCGAAATGAACTCAGCTCTTTTTTTTAATTTTATTGTGAGACAGAGTCTTGCTAAATTGCCCAGATTAGCCTTGAACTTTTAATCTTCCTGCCTCTGCCCCAGTAGCTGGGATGACAGGTGTGCAAATTCACACATGGCTCCTTTGTTATTCTTTATATTTACCATCACTATAGTGGGGAAAACTCACAAGTGGACATCTTCCCTATCTGTTTCATGTTGGGTTTATCCAATATTAACCCTATAAATGCTGGGCTTTCTCATTAAACAATTTTTAGAAGCAATCAATGGTAGCTGTTTCCAAAGCTGTCTTGGAGTGTATTGGCAGTTAAATGTACCCCCATTTTTCCTTAAGTATTTTTGACTTTGAGTAGAGTAATATAATTGCTCTGTGGTAGTCACTGAGTACTTTTAAGATGGCTAGCATATGCTTAGAAATGTTAACCAAATCAGTTAATAAATTTTTGCAATGTGCCAAAAAAGTGATAAAATAATGGGAAGTCTTGCAGTGCATGTATTCATGAGGCTCATGAGATTATATGTGAATTCACCCAAAGGGAAAAATATGTGTAATTAGAGCTAATTTCTGTTGGAGCTGAGTAACAGTGCCAGTAAGAAAGAGAAGAATCTAACATGAGAAGACCCATCATATTGTCTTTTTTAAAAAAATAATGTTGATACTAGTCTCTAGATTTTTTAACATTTATTTAGTTGTAGATGAACACACAATATCTTTATTTTTATGTGTTGCTGAGGATCAAACTCAGTGCCTCACACATGCAAGGCAAGTGCTTTACCACTGAGCTACAGCCCCAGCCCCGCCCCCATCATATTGTCTTAATGTGCCTACCAACAAAACAGTTCTTGTCTCTTGATTAGTCTTGTTTAACAAACAACATCCACTTGATTTTGATAGAATTGGTGCTTGTATGCCAATTTGTTTTTCCACTGGAGCAGTTAATTAACTATAATTTAGTGTGATTTATGTATATGTTAGAGCACCTGATACCATGCTAAGGGATCATCATTTTCACAGCCAAACTAGACACAAAACTGGTACACAATTTTTGAGTTTTGAAGATGATGACAATAGATACTATGCATCTTTTCCCTATTTTTCTGCTAATTTTCCTTCTTCCAATTTCCATTCAGAAATTGGCCTTTTAAATTTGAACAGTGTTTATTCCTATAAGTAATTGTGATAGAATTTCATCTCTTATTATATCATTTCTGGTTATAAAAGAGTGCTTGGTTTTTTTGAGGGAATTTTAGAATTAGGGAAAGAAAATAAGTCACTAATAAACATCTAACACATAATGGCAATTAATGTTTTATGTATCTCTTTCTAGTATTTTTCTAAGTTTATATATGGATTTTTTTCTGCAAAATTGGTATTACAAAATGGGCACTGTGGCACTTGTCTATAGACCTGACTACTCAGGAGCCTGAGACAGGAAGATTGCTTGAGCCCAGGAGTTCAAGGCCAACCTATGCAACACAGCAAGACCCCATCTCAAAAAAAAAAAAAAAAATTAAGACCATACTCATATGTAATCTCAATGCCATATATCCTTTCTTCTCTTTTATAGAATTTTATTGTGAATTTTTCTTATACCTTAAATTTTTCAAAAATATGATTTTTAGTGCTTTATATTTAATTAAGCAAATATATGTGATAAACATTTTCTGTCAACATTGCTGTATGTATCTTTTTCCTGTCATGTTATTTTTAAGCTTAATAACTCATCTCCAACTAATCCTCCATGTAACCCTCTGGTAAAGCCTCCACTATTTTTCCATCTGTTGTGAATATCTGAATCTTTGGGAAAAGTTGGCAATAGAAATAGTGAGAAAATGAAAACAATAATAGGAAATGGTCACCAAGGCTACTATAGGAGTGGTTATTAACCATCTGTGGCCTTCTGTGAAGTTTATAATGTGGCAATATTTGTGACAATTTAATTTTTAAAAGTTTGATTTGCTCTTTTAAAAATACATTCTTTGGGGCTGGGGTTGTGGCTCAGTGGTCGAGTGCTCACCTAGCCCATGTGAGGCACTGGGTTTGATCCTCAGCAGCACATAAAAATAAATAAAGTCATTGTATCCATCTACAATTAAAAAAAATTTAAAAAAAATACATTCTTTGGACTATAATGCTAATCCCAGCAATTTAGGGGACTGAGACAGAAGGATCACAAGTTCAAGGTGCTGTCTCAAAGTAAAAAATAAATTTAAAAGGTCTGGGGGTATAGCTTGGTGGCAAAGCTCAGTTGTAAAATCCCCAGTACCCAAAAATTGTTGTGAAAAAAAAATTTAAGTTTTGGCATCATCAAGGAATAAAAAATATGTGTTGTTAATCCCTTGATGTTAATCCCTTGGGCTTTTCAGTGGTTTTTTTGTTGTTGTTTTTTTTGTTTGTTTGTTTGTTTGTTTGTTTGGGGGTTTTGTTTTTATTTTTTGTTTTTTCTATCTGTTGTTAATCCTCTTTCCTCTTATTCTCTATTTGTTCTAAAGTCATGGGAATAAAGAAGAGTTCTCCTGTAGAGGAATACAACTTGCTGTGGATTGGTTTCTAGATAAAGGCCACAAGGATATCACTGTATTTGTGCCTGCTTGGAGAAAGGAGCAATCCCGCCCTGATGCACCAATTACAGGTATTATTTCAAATAAGACATTTCTTGTCATCTATAGGCAAAGCTAGCAAGAGAGTTTAGAGAGAAGCTGATGGTCCCAATTTAGATTAATATTTTTCTAAGTTGTTAAGTATACTTTAAATGTCTCTTCTTAAGTATATTTCTTAAACGCTCACTAGATTTATTTATATTTTTCATTTCTTGCAGGACTAGGGATCAAACCCAGAGCCGCACATATGCTAGGCAAGTGCTCTACCACTGATCCACATTCCCACCCTTTAAGGGTAGTTTTGATAAAGTGATCCATATAAAACCATCATTGTTTAGTGGCATGTAGTAGTTAGAGATAACTTCAATTCAGCAAACAATAAAGCTCATAGTTGAAAAACTGCTTTTCTATTTGATCATAGACTTCAGACTACAGAGGTATGAATCTGACTATAAACATGACTGAAATTTTCAAAAAACTAAAGAAACCATGAGAGACAATGGATCTCATACTGTACCAGAGAAGTGATTATGGGATTGCAAAGTAGGAGGTAGAAAGTCCCAAGACAGAACCAACTTAACCATGAAGCATAGTAAGCTGAAAGCCTAGGGCTGATGATATTTCTAAAGTTCCACAAAAATATTTTTATTTTGACATTAAAAGAAAAAATGAATATGATATTGGATGTATAATAATTTAACTGAATTATGGTTGACTTTATACCAATGTAGTTCTAAGATTAAATTTTGGGGCTGGGGATGTAGCTCAGTGGTAGAGTGCTTGCCTAGCATGCACAAGGCCCTGGGATCAATCCCCAGTACCAACAAAAATTTAAAATAAACTGAAATTTTTAATATTTTTTATGGAGAATGGAGTTCATGAAGGCAAAAGTGCCCAAGGTCTTCAAAAGTATAAATGTAGTCTTCTTAATGGCAGTAAAGTGTTACTATGTTCATTTACAATGATAAATGCAGCCAAAAATTCCTTACAGAATTTAAGAGCATATAGACCCCAGTCCACTGAGCATTAGGTCTTGCCCATTGTGCCTAATGAGATCCAGTGAATGGCTGTCTGATCTGTGTGTGGAGCTGTCTGCTATCTGCTGAACAGGCTTCCAAGCCTCAGTCTGAGATCATATACTGGCTCTACTCAAGCCCAACTAAAAAGCTTTCTCTCCTCAGCAATCAAAATTCCAAATAGAAAGGGGGTCAGTACTCAAATTCTATAGCCTGATTTTCCACCTGAGTTTTGTCCTTCCTTCAAGCAGAAGCCAAAAATGTAAGTCCTTAGGATTGATGCTTTATTTTCCTCCTGACAGACATATCCTCAACTACTGCCCTGTTTTCTTCATCAGCCCAAAAGCTAGTGCTGGGGTAGGGGGTGTAGCTTAATAGTAGAGTAATTGCCTAGAGGTTTGAGGACCAGGGACCAGGGTTTGATTTCCAGAAACACACACACACACACACACACACACACACAAATAGAGGCTGATCCTTCAGCCAAAGTGCAAAATGCTAGGATAGCCAGGTGCAATAGCACATGCCTGTTAATCCCAGCAACTTGGGAGGCTGAGGCAGGAAGATCCCAAGTTGAAGTACAGCTGCAGAAACTTACCAAGGTCCTGTCTCAAAATAAAAAGTAAGAAAGGACTGGGGATGTTGCTCGGTGGTAGAAGCAACCCTGGGTTCAATCCCCAGTATGACAAAAAAAAAAAAAAAAAGAAAGAAAGAAGAATGTAGGATATCAATCAGTGTTACTACTCATTCTTCATGGTAGTTTTAAAAAATTAAATGTGACTGAATCCAGTTCCTTCATTCTATCTGAAGGAGGTGACTTTATCTAAGGTCACAATTCAATTTTGATATCATGGCCAGAAATTGAGCCCACTTGCTGTCTTAAGGATAAATAGCGTATTCATCTAACTCTTTTATTTGTAATTGTAATATGGGGATAATGGTGTTAAGTTCCAAACATGATTTCTATTCTGTGGCATATAATCATATTTCAACAGATCAAGATATTCTACGTAAACTGGAGAAGGAAAAGATTCTTGTCTTCACACCATCCCGAAGGGTCCAGGGCAGAAGGGTTGTCTGCTATGATGACCGGTTCATAGTCAAATTGGCTTTTGATTCTGACGGCATCATTGTATCCAATGATAACTACAGAGACCTTCAAGTTGAAAAGCCAGAATGGAAGAAGTTTATAGAGGAGCGGTTGCTGATGTATTCTTTTGTGAATGACAAGTGCGTTTTGTTCCAATAGGCTCTGAATAGCCTATATCCATGTTACTAGTAGGAACAGATTTCATTTCATTTCAATAAACATTTATTGAACACTTATTGTGTACCATGCATGATGCTGGTTGCCATGGAGATAAAAGACTAAATGAAAAACAGGACTCCCACCCAAGGGGTTCAAAGTATAGTGGAAAAGACAAAAAAAAAAGGCCACCCAATGTGTTGTGATAAGCACTACAGTTAACTTTTATTTTTAATTTGTCCATGTGAAGTGATAAGAGAAAGCTTCCTAGGGAAGATAACATTTGAAATGAAGTTTACAGATAGAGGAGGGAGGGCTGCTGGACACAACAGGTGTAGAGAACAATATGAATAAAGCTATGAAGGAGTGAACATGGGTGGCATGTAGGGGGAACCCAGCAGATATGCCAGTATGGTTGGAACATATAATCCATGGAAGAATGATGCATAGGGAAAAATTATTCTTTCTATGTGATCCAGTAGGAATGAAAGGCAGAAATGCTGGGTTAACAAAAGATAGACTTGAGGCAGGAAGGACAGTTAGAAGGCTGTCACAATAGAACAGAGAAGAGGTAATGAAGGTCTGAAATTCCCATAAGAGGTAGCATAGGGACAGAAGGAAAGACATTCACCCATTGCTTGCTTGCTTTCAGATTTATGCCTCCAGATGACCCTTTAGGACGTCATGGACCAAGCCTTGAAAATTTCTTAAGAAAGAGACCTGTCGTTCCTGAGCATAAGAAGCAACCATGTCCTTATGGTGAGTACCTATGTGCAGAACTGAGCTCTGTTCTAAGGGAATACTTTTCTTTTCCATATTTCCTTCAAATGGGAAATCTTGGCTTGTCCATTTTCTGTGAGATAAAGTTCTTCTTGTCTTCTTGTACTCTCAGTTAAGCATTTAAAGAAAAACCTTAGAAACTGCTTGAGGAAAAGGAAACCAAATTGAAGGGAAAACTAGTTGCCACTCATTAAAATAACACATGTGCTTTAGTGCTTAAGGACCAAACATTGTTGTGGAGAACAGAGAAATGCAGAAACCTACCTGACTTCCTGAAGCAGAAAAGGCAATACCAAATTGGGTTTGGCCCAAGAAGAACATATCTCTCAGGCAGGTTACTGAACCTTCTGTCAATTGGGAAAACTCTGTTCTTCTGATCTGTGCTTTCCAGTTGCCAAAAACTTTATTTTCATTGTTTTTTCTATTTTTTAGTACAGTTTTCTACAGTATATTTGTACTTTACCCAAGTCCCTCTGATACAAAGTATATGAGCCTAACTGCAATATGGCCTGCTTGGTCTGAGATTATTTTTGATGTTTTCTCTTTGTTTGGGGGGTGAGCATTTTGTTTTTTTCCTCAACATTTAAATCACAGAGTATTTCCATACCCTGTAACTCTTCATTACAATGATCTTATAATAGAGACATAATTATGAAGCTTGTTTACAGAAGGGGAAAATGAGGCTCAGGGGGAAAGTATCATGTACTAAGGTCACACGGCCCAGTGAGGGATATGGCTATAATTGAAACTTGGGTTCTACTAGCCTCCAATCCTGTGTTCTTTGCACTGTACCATACTGCCTTCCTTTACTCTAGGCTGCCTCAGCATGCAGATTATCCCTAGGCCAAGTTGCACATTACCAGAAATGCAAGACTGTTCAACTGCTCAGCTGATTCCTCCCCAGCTTTTCACTTGCTCCCTCTCATCTCAGTGTGTGATGCTCCTTGGTGTTGTCTGTCTCTCATCTTTGTGGATAGTTAATTTTCTGCCTTAACCTCAAAGTGTCTGATCATAACCTGGGTGACCAGTTTATTACAACAGTTTCTGGCACAGAGGGTTACACCACTATGAGAGAGAGTCTTAACCCAAGGCATTATTTTTCAGGCAAAAAATGCACCTACGGCCACAAGTGCAAATACTACCATCCGGAGCGGGCCAACCAACCCCAGCGTTCAGTGGCTGATGAGCTCCGCATCAGTGCCAAACTATCCACAGTGAAAACCATGAGCGAAGGCACCCTAGCCAAGTGTGGTACAGGGATGTCTAGCGCCAAAGGTGAGATAACCTCAGAGGTCAAACGTGTGGCCCCCAAGCGCCAATCAGATCCCAGCATCCGGTCTGTGGCTGTGGAGCCTGAGGAATGGCTGTCCATTGCCCGTAAGCCTGAGGCCAGCTCTGTCCCCTCACTTGTGACCGCCCTAAGTGTTCCCACAATCCCACCCCCCAAAAGCCATGCAGTGGGTGCACTCAACACCCGTTCGGCCAGCAGCCCAGTGCCAGGATCCTCTCATTTCCCCCACCAGAAGGCCTCATTGGAGCACATGGCCAGCATGCAGTACCCCCCTATCCTGGTTACCAACAGCCATGGGACCCCTATTAACTATGCTGAGCAATACCCAAAGTTTGAGTCCATGGGGGACCATGGCTACTATTCGATGTTAGGCGACTTCTCCAAACTGAACGTCAACAGCATGCACAATCGAGAGTACTACATGGCTGAAGCAGACCGGGGGGTGTATGCTCGGAATCCCAATCTCTGTCCTGACAGCCGCATGAGCCATACCAGGAACGACAACTATTCTTCTTACAACAACCTGTACTTGGCTGTAGCTGATGCCCATCCTGAAGGCAGTTTGAAGCTGCACCGCTCAGCATCTCAGAACCGTCTTCAGCCTTTTTCTCATGGTTACCATGAAGCCTTAACGAGAGTGCAGAGCTATGGCCCAGAGGATTCCAAGCAAGCCCCCCACAAGCAATCAGTTCCCCACTTAGCTCTGCATGCCCAGCTCCCAGCAACTGGAGCACGATCCAGCTGTCCTGGAGACTACCCCATGCCTCCCAATATCCATCCTGGGGCAACTTCACAGTCAGGCCGTGCCCTGGTGATGACACGGATGGACAGTATTTCTGATTCTCGCCTCTATGAGAGCAACCCCATGAGGCAAAGACGACCTCCTCTGTGCCGTGAACAGCATGCCAGCTGGGACCCGCTGCCCTGTGCAACTGACTCCTATGGCTACCACTCCTATCCCTTAAGTAATAGCCTCATGCAACCATGTTATGAGCCAGTCATGGTACGGAGCGTGCCTGAAAAGATGGAGCAGCTTTGGAGGAATCCTTGGGTTGGAATGTGCAATGATTCCAGGGAGCATATGATCCCAGAGCACCAATTTCAGACCTACAAAAACCTCTGCAATATTTTCCCTTCTAACATCGTTCTTGCAGTGATGGAGAAGAATCCCCATACAGCAGATGCCCAGCAACTGGCAGCCTTGATTGTTGCCAAGCTTAGGGCTGCACGTTGACATGACAAAGGACTTGTTCCTTTATACACATATGAATATTAATGCTAATAATACACTAATACTATGATCATAGTAACTAATAATTTGCATTGCGCTTTAAAAGTTAGGAGTGTTTACATCATTTAAGCGCATAACGACCCTGTGAGGTAGGTTTTACTATAAAGAAGGCAGCTGAAACTCAGTGAGATTAAGTGACCTACCAAGGTCGTGCTGCTAGCAAATGACCAAGTCAAGACACACACCCAAGTCCTTTGACTCCAAGTCCCCTGTCCTTTGCACTGCACCATGCAGGTAATGGAGGACAAAACCCAAGGGGAGAGGCCTAAATGCAAGAAGCCCCAAGGGATTCCATTACCAGTGTTTTCAAAGTACGGATAATATATCCAATTTGAAGAGCAAAAGCATCAGGATCAGATCATATGTTGAATTAACCTTTTATGTTTTTTAAATAGAAACATTTAAAGATATTTAAAAGTAAACACATACTTTATTGCATGGATATTTGCTAATTCACTCTCTTTATTAATGAAATTATAAGGTCACATTGAATCTTCTAGAGCTATATTTAAAGCCTACTGTTAGCAATTATATTGCATGTATGAATATATACATTTGATTTTTGATGTGTGTATGTGTGTATCTCTGGTATAAATTTTTATATAGTGATGAGAAGGTAGACTGTACATAGTCCTTAGTCTATAGCTGTATAGATCATGAATCTGACTTGATGATTTTGTCACGTTTCATAGTTTCAACTAGATTGAAAAGTAAAATTAAATGCCAATATTTGAACATTGCTTTCTTAGGCACCAGAGTGAACCAGCTATATTTCCTTTGCACTTTTTACTTGCCAATGTTTATTAACAGTTCTTAACTTCCAAGTCTCTTCACCTCAACAAATTAGGGGACAGGTTACAGCCTTCTGCAGAGGAGATATTGGATAAGCTCAAGTTCCACACATAGTATATGTGTACTACACAAGCGCAGAAGAGTCTGACCAGAACTAAGGGACTTACTTCCAGAGTCCACTCCCCTTATCCCAGGAAAGATGGCCAAACCCATGTGGCATTAAACGATGAATACAAAAGCTTCACACAAGGAGGGACTAATGGATGCTTTTTGGACTTCTGACCTATGCAGTATTCAACATCACAGGATAAAATGTAATGGAAGACAGTGCATAGCCATGTAATCCACTTTCTCCTGCTGTTCACCCTTTGGGCAATAAGGTCAATCACTGGTGGAGCAGAATTTCTTTAGGAAACAAACCAGGGGATTTTCTAAGTGGAAAAAGACAGCTTCTAAAGGGGATGCTGCATTTTTGCTAATTGCTGGCTCAGTTATGCACTTCAAATCCCTGCAAAGAGGGTGCACTTGCCATTAGATAATTCTTAGATGCATCACTAAAGAAGATGACTTTGGGGTTGGGTGGCACCATTTGCGCAATTTGTATCTTGCTCAGGGTGGGAACCTTTGTAGCTAAATGCCTCTAGAAGAGGTGTTTATTGGTTTTTTTTTTAAGCTGCACTAAATGAACCCCCTTTTTGAATCCACTGTATATTTTAACATTTTGAACCATGACCAGCTCACTATTTCTTGAGCTGGAAATTGCTAACTTCTATGGTCGTTTTTTCATGAAAGTTGAGAAGGCCTGGCCTTGGCCTTTTGTTTCTTCATGAGAAGGTGTGACACTGCCTATAAATGTTTCTTACTGTGAAACACTCCGAATGTGAGGCTGTAGTCAGGGTTGTTTCTGGTAGTTTGACAATGGCTTGCATGCTGCTTTCTGTCTCTGTCCAAGTTGATCAACACTGCATCTTAACCAATGCTTTCTTCACTTAACCACAGCTTCACATTCATCTCCTACCCTCTAATCTTCCCATCCCGCAGCATACTGATTAAGTGTAAAAGTATTTTTCTATCAGATAGGTCCCCAGAGAGTGACAGTTGCCACTGCAGACCTTGCTATTTCATACACCACCACTTCATACCTTCAACTTCTTGGACCTTCTAAATCTGCCCCATGTCTAAATCAGGGTATTTGACAATCTCAGATTATCGCAATGCCTTTGTGCTAGTTCATCTTCCTACCAAAAATCATCAATGGCACTGCAGTCTCCACTAGCTGCACAATTGACAGGGAAGCACAAGATTAATCTTGTCAGCTGCAATTCATCTTCAACATGTTCATACTTAGTACTCAAAATATTGTAAGCTCCTCCCAATACAGGAAATATTTTTAAGGAAGCATATGTATTTCTTATTTCCTAAAAACAATTGTCATTTTTCTCCTTTCATAAAATGTGTATGAACCAAAGTGGCTAGGAGCAATGCCTCAAAAAACCAGAAATGACCTTTTGTTGATACAAATTGTATCTCTTTTTTTTCCTGACTGTATAGAAACAAATGTACAAAACTCATCTTAAACTAGGTTTGGTACTGAATTTTCACCATGATATCTGTGGCACTGTGTGTCACAGGGAAGTAACCCAGGGGTCGTGAGGGAGTTTTTATTTCCAAAGGGCAGTAGTAGTTTATAGACAAAGACAATTTTTCAAGGCCTCTTTATTATTAGGTGCACAGCTATTGTGTGTCCAATTTCAAGCATTATATTGCGTAAGTTCTCTTTAGGCTATTTAATGTGTCCTTCAAAAGGGGAGTTTGTGTAAAAAGTGTCAATGTTAGTGAATCATCTGCAAGAATCTATAATGGAGCTGTACAACTATGAATGCGCAAATCCAAGCTTGGCTCTTAGTTAAATTATAGTAGAGTGGCATTTTCTTTATATTGGAGGTCTGCATACTTCTTGACTTTTCCATTTCTGTCTATAATTATAAAAACAGCAAATAACAAAGAGCATTGGGACCCCCTCGGCTCCCTTGATAATAACAGCCTCCTTCATGGGGCTAAGCATGTGTCCTTCAGGATACTTACCTCCAAGCACTTAGCAGGGGTTACTGCACAGTGTTTTGTGTGATTTTCAAGAAACAGTATATTTTGCAAGAGGTGCTTTGTAATTTAAATTCTCTCACTGATTTTTCTGACCTCATAGCAAGTCTGTGCCTGTTAAGGCCTTAGATTTTGTAGATTCTGTGACTTTTTTTTTCCTTTTGTGACTTTGTTGTTGTTTTCATTTTGACCTTAGGACAAATGTGACCCTGGAGTAGCATGGTCAATTCAGGGTACCCTTTCTATAAGACAGCTCAAAGAGTAGGAGCCTTTTCAAATGTAACATTGAACCACTGCACTCTCTTAAGGTGCCAGGTATAGAAGGGAGAATGATAGATATGACAGATGCTTATGGAAATGGTCTACAAAACTTTTCTTCTTCGAAATAATGAAACACACAGCATGGTTTTCTCCCCTCCCTCTTTCTTCCTACCCCCTGCTAGTTTTTAGAATACTTCTCTAAAATTCATTTTTTCTATTTTGGAATAAATCATCTTTATATAGGAATTCAATCATTGATGTCCATTAACCTTTGTCACTGAGTTTTCTTCTAACACAGAAGAGTTCATTTTGAGAGGCACTCAGTTACCATTCTATCTATGTTGTAAGTATGGGACTTTGTACAAAATGCCCTTTTTGAGGGCCAACAATTTCAATACACTTTGTTTTACTCTGTGAACCAGGTCTGGATCTGCACAGGGAAAGTAATGCCGAGCTGTCCAAAGAGCCCTGCTCAGGTCTCCTCCTAACCTTTTTCTGCCTTCCCCAAGTTTGCTTCTCCTCAGGTCTGATACTGAGGAGTGCATAGTCTTCAACTGAAAAGGCACTAGTTATCATTGGAAACCAAACCAGTACATTTCTGGAACCTGCTTATCTAAAGTAGTCAATGCCTTTGTAAAGACTCGGCATACTCAATATCTATTGTATTATGGCTAGCTATATACATAGGCAGATTGACTATTTTTAGTCCTGGTTTGTGTATCATTGAGCTATAGTAGTTTGCTTTATCCATTTGTGGGATTAAACAATACTGTTTAATGGTTGTAAACTTTTATAAAACCTCTTTGGGTTTCTTGTTTGACCCAAACATAATGTAAGTCTCAATGACAAAATACACAGAGCCAACAAGAGGTGAGTGAAATATATCCCTTCCCCAGTTTTGTCTGCCCCTATAATGCATGTGCAGTGCTTCATAATATGTTCTCATTAGCATGAATATGCTATGACTATTTCATAAGGTTTCAATTTGTTTCACCTATAATCGTGATGGAAAATGCTATATTGTTGACAACAATGAACTGTAACCACTCTTATTTATTGCATAAACTATTTGTCTATTAATCACTAAGGACTCTTTCTTTAAGAACATTAATGACAAAAATCATACCATATATATATATATATATATATATATATATATATATATATATGTATTCCAGTTTGTTCGTAAAGTATGAAATTTCTGTCCCTGTGACCTGCATCTTGAGATGCATCTGATTTTTACCACAGTAAGCATGGTCCCTCTAACTGTGGAAGTCCAACACAAGTTCCTAGACTAACACTAGATTATATGCTATTTGTTTAAATAACCATGCTGTTTCTCAAGTCCTTCAGACTTTGCCCTTCCTTTACTCCTTATTCTTATTAGTAAAGTTTTGTCATTGAAGACCCAATACTAATATCACCCCCTCAAACAAGCTTTTCATAGGGTAGTGCTGGCTTCTACTGCTGGGTTAAAAGCAGGCTCAGCTCAGACTTATTTCTATATATTGCCTATAGTTTCTCCCTGAATTGCTTCACATCCTCAGAGACATCATCTACTGAGCCTTAACCAGAATATCAGAGCCAAAGGGGGCAAATCACCTAACTGAAGGAGCTCAGGTGCATCAACCTCTTCTCAGATTATTGTGCAGAAAATGAGACTTCAAAAGCACTGAAGAGATTTGACGGAGGATGAACAAGAATTAGTAGTAAATAGCAGGACTGGATATCCACAACCTAATAACTTCCAAGCCAGTAAGCCCTTGGTCACAGGTTGTCCTCTCTTCCTTCAGGCCTTCCTGGTGCCTCCTACCCATTCCCCATCCCACCCCAGGTCAGTCTCATTCTAAATGCAGAGGTGACTACAAGTGCTACAGTGGAGCCCAGCACTAGGGGCCTTTGCAAGGGACTATTGGTGAATTCGAAAATCTTGTTTTAAAATCATACTCCATGAAAATAAGAGTACAACTTTCCCCAGCCTCTTTTTTGTTTGTTTGTTTGTTGCTGCCTCCTCTAACATTCCTCAGGCATACCTGTATCAAATTCTTAGTACCAAATAATAGCCTGACCTATACGTAGCTAGAAGAGGAAGAAAGAGTTCCTGTCTTGAGGAACTTGAACTCTGGTGGGGGAATGAAGTATGCTCAAAGAATAAATTAATACATAAAGACTTCCTGAGCAAGATAGGGAGGGTGGATCTGATTAAACCACAATATATGCATATTTGGAAATGTCACATTGAAACCTATTATTTGGTAAAATTAATATGGCTCAATAATTATTTTAAAAAAGACTTTCTCAGAGGAGAGTGGCAGCATGAATATGGGAAGACTGTTAAAAACAATAAGAATTCCAAGAGGGGACAATTCAATGTTCAGTGCTTCTTCCCTAATCACACGTGGAAAATCAACTGATCTGGCCAAATCACTTTCTAGATCACCTTTCTGGCCTCATGACCTACCAAGCCACATCACCATGTTCCAATTATCCTGGACCCTGCTATAGTGTCCCAACCATGCTGTTTCTCAAGTCTTTCAGACTTTGCCCTTCCTTTACTTATTATTCTTATTAGTAAAGTTCTGCCATTGAAGACCCAATACTAATATCACCCCCTCAAACAAGCTTTTCCACCTCCTGGTCCAGACGTTTTAATCCTTTCACAGTGGACCTTGCAGGACTCTTGAACAGTAGTATTTTAGCAATTATCACTTCATTGCAAATTTTGTTGGAACACAGTCTATACCACAAAATGGGGGGTAAGAACCATATTCATCTGTAACAATTTATTTCCTCCTGGATGGGGTCTCTCAATTCTGTTGTTGACTAATATAATATATGCTCCATTTCCTTGACACACATCACTGTTAAATGGATGCAGTTCAAAGACTTTTCTAATCAGTCTCTGATCTCTAATTAGAAGGAAAAGGTCCAAGAGCATTAGACTAAGTTTGTTTCATGGCAACTGCATACCCCCACCCCCACATCCACCATGTGAAGTCCTTCAACCTGACCTCTTAACTCCCAGGTTTAAGAAAGACAACTCTCTCTGGACCTGCACTAGAAATGAACTAATGCAATCTGATCCTTATCTTTAGACGAGTCTTTGAGGGCCAGAGGAAAGCATTATCCAGCATTCTATGGGACTTGAGACCTGATTTCAAGACTCACTAACCCTGGCATAAATCCACACCACTCACACATATAAAGCATGATACACATTAGAGAGCACTTTCAATCCTACTCTGTTTTGACATTTACAAGTCCATAAGGCAAATACTACCCTTCTTCTACAGATGAAGAAACTGTAATCAAAGGTTGCTCTCATTAAGCAGTGGAGCTTGCCTGGAACCCAGATCTTTGAGCAGCTTTTTCCCCTTTCCAAGTATATCTGAAACTTTTGTGTGCATCAGAATTACCTGAAGGATCTGTCAAACTATAGAGATTGTACCCTCAACCTTTCTGATTCAGAAGATCAGGAGTGGGGTCCAAATATTTTCATTCCTAACAAAAACCCAGGTGATGCTGACATTGTTTTAAAAAAAAAAAAAACTGATCTATATCAACCTAGTAACTGCTTTATGGCCATGGGCAAATAATTTCCCCTTCTATCTCAATGCACTTAAAATGAGGAGGCTAGACTAGAACCATGATTTCCAAACCTTATTTTAACAACAAAGCCATCTTTCAAAAATAATAATATGTAGAATCCAAATACATACCATAGTAAATAAAGTCAGGACTCTGGAGAAGCAGTGGTGGGGAAACTGAGAACTCACAGCACCCATTTCCCCAGACGCTGGGATACCTAACAGAATACATTTTCAAATCCCTTTCTTAGATGGTATTTGAGGGCTCTTCTACCTATGACATTCCAGTATACTAGAAAACTTAGCCCTTGCTATAGCGAGGAAAGAGAAACTTTGCATTAACCAGTATACAAGAGTGCACTGCCCATATCTAGTTCTTGGGTCCATACAGGAAAGGAAAGCTTAACTCTGTTGGGTTGGTAGATTCATGGACCCTTTGACCATCTGTGGACTAGCTCACTAGAAAAATGACAATGTACACATACACACCAAGATTACTTAGTTTATCCTTTCAGGTGTTATGGACTCTCTGGGGATCCTAATTCAGGTTAAAACCTTTATTGAAGAGCTGGGGCTTAGTGTTATAGAGTGATCCCCTAGCACACACACATGAGACCTTGGGTTGAATACTGAACACCTGGAGTGCTATGGAACCTTGATTTCACTCTGGTAACTGCATTTCCATCAAATCCTTCCTTGGAATTTTCAGAATGTTAAGTCTTCTCCTTCATCATTTCTTGCCACAGGAACTTGCAGATATCACTTAAGGTGTCAGATTATCACTTGGTAACTTTCCTTCCTCACCAAACTAAGGTTCCAAGGGTTGAGAACATAGTGTATTTGTCACCTATCTCTTGGCAGCTCAGGGCTAACACAGGGTAGGCACTGAGGAGACAGTGTGAGATGAGGACCCTAGGGTGACCACAAAGAAGGGGCTCTGGATCAATCCCTAAGGCATTACTCTAGTTCCAGTGCCCACCACAGGGAAGTCCACTCTATCTTTCCTAGGTAAAAGGATAATCTCTGGCTTTCAACTACTGCTTGGTGCCCAGTGAGGGCAAGACGAGGAGATAAACAGGAAAACCTGGATCTCCTTCCCACTGTCAGTAAGGCTTTGAGCAAAACCAGCCTCAACAAACACATTTCATTTGCTGGGTAGACTCTGTGGCCAGCAATGCCTCTCCTCTGAGGCCTAAAGCTTCAAAGTCAGCTGACTCCACACTAAAGCTGAGTGGTGCAGAAATGGTCAAAGGAACCAGGCAGAAGGTATGGGTGGAGTCTGGCTGTGGAAGCAATCAGAGCCAGTGGACTCAAGAGAATCCAGCTCCTGCTCAAACCCTAGTTATTAGTCCACCTTCTCTGGAGTCCCCACAGTAAAGGAAGAACTATTCTAGTCTGTTCCAGCACATCCTCCCTCATCTCACAAACACCAAAACTACAGTTGCCTGTTTATTGTTTTTCAAAACAAAGCAAAATAAAAAGGGGAAAAACGTTCAAAATTCCATTCTGGTGGAAAGATGAGTTGCCATGACTGATTCAGGCTGTCTCCCAATTGTATCATGGAACATCAGGTGGACTCTGGGGTGGGCTGTTGTCCTGGCAGGGATGGATGAACACTTGCATCAAGGCTGGCATCAGAAGAGCTGCAGGCCAGTTTTGAGCCCATGCAGCTGCCCCTGGCTCCAGAGAAGACCCTCAAAATTGGTGCTGCTATTGCTGCAGTTGCCACTGCCAACACCACAGCTTAGGCCCAGGGTGCTGTGGAAAGAGTGGGGGGGTCAGTGAGGAAAGAAGTCACTTTAGGCTCCTAGAGGAGCTAAGAGTACCTGATATGTGCACGTCTATGAGAAGGGCCCACCCTCCTGCCTGGCTTTTTATAAAAAAGACTGGAGCAAATCTAAAAAGTGATTTCAGTTGGGCTCCACGGGTGATTTTGCCCTCCCCACAGTTGAGGGAGGGAGGGAAGGAAGAGTAAACTTTTCAAAGAAAACACTATACAAAACCCAGTACATAAACCAGACTAAAGCCCATAGAGAGCTGTCTGGGTTAAGGGAAGGGGTCCCACACAACTTCACCCCCAGGAAAATAATGAAGTGGCTGCCTTAACAGGGCCTCCTTTCCAAATTCCTGAAGCTTGGGGACCCAAAAGACTCTGTGCTGGATCCCTCCCACATATAATACCTGGTTAAAGGGCCCAAGGCCAGGCTTGGGCTTTAGGGACAGGCCCAGCACCCATCCCATAATTGCAAGGCTGCCTGAAGGAGATAACTGCCCTCCCTCTCCCTGGCCCAGCTCAAAACACCCTTGCTTCCCCTGCTTCTTGCAGGTCAAAGGTCCTTCCAGCTGGATGAGGTGACAGCTGAGAACAAAGCCATCATCCTTCCCCTCAGGCAGATCCATGGTTATACTACTGCAGCTGAAAAAACCCTTTGAGATGATCTAGTCCCATCCCTCCCATCACCCACAATTTTACAGACAAGGAAACTGAGGTCCAGAGATGAGAAATGACTTACCCAAGGCCACATAGCCAAGTCAAGGGTGGAGCTGTGGTGGGAATGCCCAGCTCCAGCCCAGGAAGTGTAGGAGCTGGGCAAAATCTGCTTCCTTCTTGATTTAACAGGTTACTCCACCTGCCTATACCTTGATACCCCTGATACCCTGGTACTCACTAAGCCAGCTTTACCCAGGGCCAGGCTAGCTGGGACTAAAGAGAGAAGGGGTCTTTCAGACAGGTGAATCCCACTCTCATCTGGCTTCCCCAGCTATCTCCTCTCTTCTCCAAGAGGCCTACTGCCCCCTTGCCTCAGATACAGAGTCCATGGCATTGTCTTGAGCCTGGCCTGCTTCTGGGACCCCTGGGATCCACAGCCCTCTCCCAGAATGCCCAAATGAAGAGGGGCTCATCTCCCAGGGAGTCGGCAAACAGCACAGGGATGGACTATTAATTTCAGGGGCCCAAAGGGGTCTCTCTCTGGTACTCACAGGATTCTCCCGGTCACAGTGGCCCAGCATTCCGGAAAGTATAGGCCCTCTGGACGGGCTCCTTTGTGTTACCAGCATAGCCCTTCAGCAAGGGCTGCTTGCTTCCTGGCTCCCTGATGAGCCCAGGGCTCTCCCGCCTGTGATCCAAAGGCGAGTTCCGAGGGAGAACATGGAGCCCTGCGCAGGCCTTGCTACCAAAATGCCTGGACAGTACGGGGAGGCCTACTGATTATTCTATGCACCTTTGGACAAATCCATTCCCCTTTCTGGGCCTCAGTTTTCTCCTCAGGAACAGAATGAAGAGCATCTGTTCTTGACCTTTTAGGAAAGGTGGACCCTTCAGAGAATTCACTGAAAGCTATGGACCCCTCTCCTCCCAAAACACACATGCAAATGTGAGCACGTGCATACGTGTGTGTGCACGTGCACATACACAAACACACAAAAAGAAACTGGACCCAATCTGCAAAGGGTGCCAAGCCAGTGCTATGTGCTTACTTCAATGGCACTCTATTCTAGGGGCAGGGAGTCCTAGCAAGGGCCCAGCCACCTACCTACCCACCCCACTTTGTCTCCTCCCCTCTTGCAGGCAGCAGACAAAGGGGGTGAGAAATCTTGCTGCCATGGGCACTCACCCAGCTTTGCCTGTTGGGGGTTCCAGCCGCTGGTCTAGCACAGGCTGGTCCAAAAGATACATGGTGTCATAATTGTCCAGCATAAGTTCTGCTGGGTCCTCAGTCTGACCTGGCATTCGGCCTAAGGGGAACGTGTCCCATCGCACATCCTCTGTGAAGCAAAGAGAGGCATAAGAAGAATAGGCTTATGAGCTGTTAATCTAACTGGTGTACAGGACTACCCACCCTGTCCATCCAACCAGCCCACTCAGCCATCTCAATATGAGCTTTCTGCATACCCCCACCCTCACTCCTCTACATATATCCTCATAAGCATAAGTGGTGACATTTTGTTTCTGGTGGGTGGAGGAATGAACCTAAGGGTGCTATTACTAAGCTATATCCCAGCCTTTTTTATTTTTTGAGACAGGGCCTTATTTAGTTGCCCGGGCTGTCCTTGAACTTGCCAAGGATGGCCTGAAACTTGCAATCCTACTGCCTTACCCTCTGGAGTTGCTAGGATTACAGGTGTGCACCACAGCACATGCTCACCACACATTCTTCATGGCCCTTCTTCCTTCTCTACCTCAGGGTGGGCCCTCAGAGGTACCATGTCCTACCTGCCCCATTCAAGGTCTTCTTGCCCCAGAGGCTCATACAAAGAATACTTTTTTTTCCAGGAAAGGGCAATCTCACATGTCCCATCCCCTACTGCCTCCCAAGCATACAAAAGCAAACATACCAAGCCCTCCATTCAATAAATGTCCTCCATTTCACTCCCTGCCTTCCACACCTAACATTCACAGGCATACAAACCAGACAACTTCAAGTTCCCAACTTTGCACACATGCATAGACACAAAAGGAATAATGGCCGAGGGAAAGAAGGAAAGATTTAACACACTAGCTTTTTGTAGTTTAAACCAACAGCCTACCCCCAACATGCATATGCGCACGTGCATGCACACATGCGCGCATGCGCACACACACACACTCCACTTTAGGATGGACCATGCCAGGCCCTTCCTATCCCTGTCTTATTGCTTCAACATCCCCCATAGTATTATTTTAAATCATTCCTCCCCATCTTTACACAAGTACATCCACTATTTTCAAGAGAATCCTTTGCTAGTTAACTCTTCCACACATATTCTGTTTCTGACTTCTGACTTCCTGCATCTTCCTGACACTCAAAGAATTCTCCTTTTCATAAGGCCCCCTTCAACATTCTATAAAGTATCAAACCTGAACCAGCTGTTTATGTAACACATATAGAAGCCCATCCAAAAGTACTGTCTGCATATTTTAAACATGTATCAAATTATTACAGTGCATCCCATACATATGTACAATTATGTGTCAGTTCAAAACAAGATTATGGGCTGAGGGTGTACATTAGTGGTACAGCACATTTCTAGCATGTGCCAGGCCCTGGGTTCAACACCCAGCATTGAAAAAAAAAAAGCTCTTCCTCTCTTACAAGCATTTGTTCCTGTGCTATAATACAGTTACCTTCAGGCACAGGTACCACTCCACCCATGGGCTATGTGACCTTACCATCCACCCCATTGCTAACATCCCCAACACTGTCTACATCACTTGCCTATCTGACACCTTGTCCAACTCCAGTCCTTCAACATGGACACACAGGCCATATCTAGAGGGCAGTCTCACACCATTTCATAGGCTCTCATCTCTCACTGCTACCATTTCTTTCCCTCATACAGATAACTCTTGGCCCTCATGGGTCTCAGTGACCCTGCCTCCTCTTCAAAAACAAGACATATGACTATGAGTGTATGCACACACAGCTACAGATACACTACGGCCCATTTCACAATGAGTTCTTCCCCTACTTTTTTGGTTCCTTCAACATATACACACAATTCTGCTTGTACAAACATCCTTCCTTTTGCTATTTACAAAGACATCCCCCATATACCCTTTCTTGCCCTAAGAGATATCTCTGTGCCACAATTTACCTAGTAGGTACATACACACCCCCAACACACACACACACACACACACACACACACACACACACACACAGAAATAAAATGTGTTCACCCATCCCTAACACTCCTACCCAGGGCCTTTATACCCTAGCCCTTCCATAAACATCCACAGAAAGGCGAAAGATACAGCTCTCCCCATAAGCTCATTCACTGCCTTGTCTCTGGTTCCATCTCACTCCCCATCATGGCCACCTTATACCACTCCCAGGTCCAGCTGTTATCCCTCCCCCAGGCCATAGTACACAGGACATGCCCTTTTCTCTTGTGTGTATATCACCAACCTTCCCTGTACCTCCATTCCCCTAGGCTCTAGACTCATGACCTTGTGTGAACATCTAAAATCCATATCACTCTATTCTCTTCTTCTGATCATACTTCCTGTGTCTCTAACTTAATGCCCTGGGTTCCTTCAGGTGGCCTTACCAGATTTTGTTGTGTCTCACAACCAGCCAGACTCCATGAATATACAGAAAGCACTCCTTTCTTACTGCATATTGAAGCAGAATCATACGTATACTTCCTCCACTTCTCACTTTCTCCTGAGTGCTGCTGCCTGGTGGTCACACCCACGCGGTCCCCTCTAAATGTTCTCTACAAATGAAACAGCAAGCACCCAACAGTGGTCCTTGGTGCTTACATGCTCCATCCTCAGAGGGAAGAAAGTCACTTGTCATCCATGTACCTGACTTTCTCCCAAGCTTGACTCATACTGGCTACCTCCTGCCACTTTCCATCTCTTCCCTAGTTCAAAGAGAAACAATCAGTGAGGGGAGAATGCATATCAGGTTCCTTACCTGAACTAACTTGCCATGCAGAACCCTGCAAAGCTCCTCGTTTCTGGACCAGGAGCCTGGCATTCTCCACTGTAGGGGATTCCTGCACAGTAGAGAAAGGTCCCACCTCCATTCTGTCTTCATCTTCATCTTCTTCCTCGTCTTCATCATCCTCATCATCATCGTCATCGTCATCATCATCATCGTCGTCATCATCATCATCTTCATCACCATCTTCATCGTCATCTTCAATTCCCTCTTCATCTTCCAGGTTATCGTCATCATCTTCTTCATCGTCTTCTTCCATCTGGTCTTGCAACACTTTTTTCTCTTCCTTCTCTTCTTGATTGATATCATTATGGCTGCCCTGTTCCCCCTGCTGCTGGGCCTTTCCTTCAGAACAACAGTTAGAACCAGCTGGTTTAAGACCCCAGTATAGGCTATCCAGTGTGTATGGAGACTTCACGCAGGGGGGAGCCTCTGATCCCTCTTTCACCTGGCTGTTTTCTCCATTCTGAGTATAAATGGAACAGATGCGCAGCAGCTTCTCCTGCTCCCCATCTGGCAGGACCTGTCCCATGGCTTTGAAGACACTGAGGAAATGGAGGGATGGGGTAGGAAAGATTCAAAATCTCAAGTCACTTCCTACCCCAACACTCTAGGGTTTGAACTTGGTCCCTGAGCTTCTACACCAGCCTCTGAAAGGCAGTGAGTAGAGCACACAAAACACAGAAACAACAGGACCATGGAACCTGAATAAGTTCTTTGGTTCATCTCTGTACCTCACTTCCATTCTCAGTAAAATGAGGACAATAATGATACCTAACTTCTAGGTTCCTTGAGATGAGTAAATAAGAGAGCTCACATAGAATGCCTGGCACAGTGCCTGGCACATAGTGGGCATGCAATAAATGATAGCTATTAGTCTGTACTGAAACACTACATAGAAACACAAACTAGCCAACAGGCCTGTCAGGCTGGAAATGAGAATGGCAGATCCCTCTCTCCTCTGGCCTGGCTGAACAATCTGTCCTGAACTCCAAGGATATGCCTAATGTGTGCTGGGCTCCTTCTGAGTGGAACACAATATGTGATCCCTTTATGGAACAGCTACAGCCTAGCCTGGAATGGAAAAAAAGAAAAAAAAAAGCAGCAGTTGACAAGACAAAGCAGGATGTGAAAGGGAGGCCTGATGAGCATCATAGACCTTCTAGGGGAACTACAGGAATGGGGGCAGGCAGAGAGCACAAGGAGGGAGGAGCAACTGAGGGCAGGCTTTGTGCTGGAAGTGAGACCCAGGAGGACCAGACAAGAGCGAGCACACTGCATTGCTGCGTGTGGTGAGAGTATCCTGGCTAGAGGGCAAATCCTGTGTTGAGGATCTACACCAGGAAGAGAGAGCTGGGAAGGGAAGTGTGTGTGTTGGGGACTAGGTCGCCTGCCAACTGAGCACAGGTGAAGGCTGCCTGTCTGAAGATCACCATGGTCCCCATGGTGGGGGCTGGGGTAGGGCAGCATTGAGGCAGGGCAACCAGGGAGGAGGCTGTTTGGACAGCTCAGGCCAGAATCTGTGAGGGCTGGCCTAGGGCGTTGGCAGGGGAGATGAGAGGGAGAAGCTGGGAAGGACAGACAGACAGAGAGCAGGGCTTGGTGACCGATGGCAAGGGTCAGGCAGAGGGGAATTAAAGATGATGACATTGTGCACACAACAGACGGTGCTAACAACAAAACCACCAACAGATACAGTCGCTGGGGAGGAAGAGGGCAAGCCTTCCTCATGGAGCCTTGCATAGAAGCTAGCACCTACCAGGCACCCAGGCCCTACTGGACAGGTGGGCAGGGTGGAGGGATGGGGAGTGTCCTTCCAGGTGTATGGAGTGTGAACTGCATGGTTCATGGAGGGACCACGTGTCCAGTGGACTGACTGTTCTCTCAGCACCCAAGGATTGGTCACATATGCCCGGCCACTGGGCTGGGGGCTAGGGACTTGACTGAGAGAGTATCTCTGCGGGCCAGTTTTGTACTCCATGAGGACCTTGGTTCAAACTGAATTGATATTGGCTGGCTGTGGGAAGCTCTTGAAAAGCTTCCAGCTTTATTAGAGGAAAAGCTAGAGTAACTCTCTGCCCTCTCACTGTGGTCCATTAGTGTGATTAATAATAAATATTCTCAGGCACTCGATATTGGCAAGAAGCCTTATCACCACTGTTTGTTATTACCCACCCACCACCTCCAGCTATCCAGTCGGACCACTCAGGTGCAGGGTGATACAATCTCAAAAGACATTTCCTCCCTTGTGTATGCCTGGTCACAGCTCAGGACTGAGACAGTCACAGGTTCCAGCTGATGGAAAGAAGGTAGACTTCAAACTGACAGGACCTGGGCCCAGATCCCTGTCCCACTGTCCACTGTACAAACCATGTGACTTTTGGATAAGTCACTTCACTCCTCGGAGCCTCAATATTTTATCTGCCAAAGAAGGGTACCATACCTCCAACTCCCAAGATTGCTGTGTCAAACTAAATGAAATAATCTCTACAAAAAAACACAGCACCATGCCTGACACTTAATTGCCAGTGGTATCTTTTATTTTTTTTCTCTGGGGAAAACAAAAGCCAAGTTCTGTATTCATCTAATAACAGATGCTTTTTGTAACAGTACATTCTATTAGAGCATTATGAAGAACATGGGACTATAGACAGGCTACCTGGATTCTGGCCCCAGCTCTGACTTGCAGCATCATACCTGAGCACATCCCCTTTATCCCCACTCTGTGTAATGGGGTGATTAGGAATAAATTCAACTGGTTATCTGGAAAAGGCAGGATCTGTGCACAAGAAATCGTACCCAAGTAAGCCGCTGTTACTGCTGGCATGTGTCGCATCCCTCTGGTATGCTTGGGTTGGGAGAAGATCTCTGTGGTCCAGACTTCTCCAAGACCAGCAGCTTCCACTCTGCAGGCACTTAGGATTGGAAAGTACCTTGAAGGCCACCTATCCAAACCTCTCCATGCTACTCTTTTCACTCCCTCCCCCACCCCAGATACACATGCCGTGTTCCTTCTGCACTTCGAAACTTCCTTTATTCTTTTCTCTGCTTGAATTGCTCAAATGCTTCCTTCATGATGCTCTTCCTGATGCCTCCAGACCCTTCCGATTATCCTCCCAGTTTCCCACCCAGCCATGTCACTTCTAGTCTATAATGCACACATCTGGCAATGTCTGGTTCAGTCCCATCACCTGGAGGCCTTGCCTTGGCTGAATGTGTCTACAAGGTCACATTTTTTAACCATATAAAAACTATTGTGCCCAGATGCCATAAGGATTCAAGAAAGACTTGAACTCAACCAGGGAATCAGGGACTAAAAGGGCCTTGGCATCCAGTCTCCCACTTCATTCATTCCTCAGGCATAGGTCAGCTCCCACCAACGATAGCACTGCTGGCAAGGAAACAGCAGAGCAGTTTTCAGTTTAATGAGGCCTATTTGGTGCCTGGATTTGTATGGTGTGCTTGGGCATGATAGCTAATACAGAGCCCTTGCTTTCAAAGAAGTGTAATAGAGGGAAGGAGACACTGGGGGAAGTAGACACGGCAACACAAAATCTCAGATTTGGGAAATATTCAGGAGTCAACAGGACAGGGTAGATGGTGCTGCCAGGGGAGGAAGATCACTTTTGAGTTGGGGTGGAGAATAAGATGACCAATTCTTTTGGTTACACTAAAATGTCTGTGGGCCATCCAAGGGGAGATGTTCAGCATGCAGTTTATTTCGTATAGGAGGCTGAACCATGGGGGAGGGGAATGCCTGGGCTAGATAAAGAGATTTAGGCCTTAGCAATTTATAGGCAGTAGTAATAAGCACAGGCATTTCTAGGAGGGAATAGTAAACATTTTCAATGCAGTAAACACAGAAACTAACAAGGGCCCATTGGATTTGGTATTAGGTCAAAGCAGCTCTAGAGGTGAGTACCAAATTACAGTTGGTTGAGGAGTAAGAGGGCAGTGAGGAAATTGAGATTATTAGCTGAGGACTATTCTTTTGAGATCAGAGGGGAAGGAGTGATAAGCTGGTGATAACCCAACAGAGGGATGTGGGGTCAAAGCAGATTTTTCTTGTGTTGCTATTACTGTTGTTTTGTTTTAAGAGGAGAAAAACAGACACATTCATAAATTGAGGAGCAAGAACCAGCAGAGCAAGTGAGAGGCTGGGCTGAAGCCCCAGCAATGCTGGCAGAGGTGGCTCCAGAGCACAGGTGGAGGAGCAGGCTTTGAGGAGAGGCAAGGCCACCTCATCCTGAGACTGGCGAGGTTGACTGCAGCTGCAGATCAGTTCACGAGGGCTGGACCTCAGGTCGAGGGGGCCCTGTTGGATGCCTCCATGTGCTCGAAGAAGCTAGGGTGAAATGGGAGAGAGGGAGGGGCTCAAGGTAAGTGGTAAAGGTTCAGAATAGTCAGGGAATGGGAGAAAAAGTTGTCAGAAAACAAGTCAAAGTTCAGACAAGCAGAACTGAGGCCTGGCCCGAGATTAAAAATCATACCTCTGCAGTGGCAGCAATCCGCAGGGCTATGTTGCTTTCTCCAGCAGAGCTCAGCTACCCGGGCTGAGGAGCAGGGGAAGCAGAGTGGGGAGGATCAATCCCAGCATGGGGGTTTGCAAGTCAGATATAGCCAAAGGATGAGCAGAGTTGAGGGTGCTGATGATGAGTGGCTGAAGCAATCAACCACAGACAGGACTGGGCAGAAGCAAGGTCAAGGGAGGGAGAAAATGGAAGCATGGAGGTCTGGATGCAGGCAAAGAGCAGGTGTCATGGGATGTAAGGGTGAAAACTAGAAGAACAAGAGGTGGTGGTCACCGAGCAGGATGCTGAAATGTCAACTTTCAGAGGTGAAATAGCTCTGAGTGATGGAGATGGGTTGCTGAGCACAGTGGAGAATGAAAGTCACTGGAGTTGAGGAGCTGCAGTGTCAGATGGGTCACCCAAATGAAACAGATATTGCTCCAGAAAGCAAGAAGAAAAACAGGTGCTGAAGGCATCCATGAGAATGAGGGAAGTGGTTTTGGGTCATGACATGACAGAGAAGGAAAGAGAGACAACCACAGGTATTTACAGGAACCAGTACAATATTCAGTTTGACCATTAGAACCCAGGGTGGATTGAGTAAAGGGGACTCACAGGAGGTATGGTTACCATGACAGGCAGGGCCAGAATCAGAAAGATCTCTGAATGTTGAGCCAAGAAGCCTTCATTTCACCAGGAAGGCAATAGGGAACCACTAAAGTTGCTGAGTAACTACCAGAGGTACCTTGGGAAAACTAATAGAGGATACATCATTGGGCTTGGAGTCAGAGGACCTGGGTTTGATAGTAAACAGCAGCTACCATTTATTGTGCACTTACTCTGTGCAGGCCACTGTGCTAAGCATTCTCACACTGGACTCAGTTCAGCCAGGTCATAAATTGTATGATCTAAAAGGAAGAATACTCTATTCACTCCCAAGACTCAGTTCCCCCACATGACTATGGAAGGGGGACTGGGTTAGATGTCCTCAAAAGTGTCTTCCAATTAGGCCACTCTAGGGCCATGTGGCCCTAAAGCTTGCAGGACCTCACCCTCTTACCAGATGGAATTCAAGAAACTTACAGCTGAAGGAGTTGGGGACTGGCCCAGCAAGGTGAGCCCAAGCAGGACTCAACCACCTGGGGCCAGTCAAGGGAGGCGGAGCAGTTGAACAGCCTCCAGCTCCTTCTTGCTTCCCACTGTCTTGTAGAAAATCGGCGAGCATTCTTTCCTAGGAGAGAAGAGGGAGCCTGAGAAGAAGGAACCAGTGACCCCCACCCCCAGCATTTCACTTTGAAAAGTTTGGCTGTGCCCCTTCCATCCCCCCAGATTCCCTACCCTATACCTCCCAACTGCTCATAGCATTCAGGGCACTTTGCCCCAGCCCAGTTTAGTTGGCTCTGAGAAGAAAAAGGAAAGAGGAAAATTTGTCCACTGGCGCCCACAGGGCCCTCTTAGATGAACCTAAACCTTTAACAAGGGAGGTATCTGTCTGATGATTTTCAGCAGAGAGCTGAGTATAGTGGCACTGCCTGGGCTGCCTTACGCCCTGGATCTAGGGCTAGTCTCCCTCACCAGTTTTGGTGTTGGCCACGATCAGTTCAATGGTCCATCTAAGGATGTAGGTGGGCCGGATCCCACTGTCCCCCAAGGTTGGCAGCTCAGAGAACATCCTCTCCAGCAGGGCCTGCGTGAAGGTCTGGGAGTGCAGGCCCCTGAGCAGGGGCTGCCAGAACTGAGAGAACGGCTTTGGCACCAAGACGTCATTCAAGTCCACGTTTTCTGGTTTGTGAGGGACACCCGTTGACAGAGGGGAGGGCAATGGCAGCAAGAGTGAGACAGCAAGAGAGAGAGCACAAGAGCAAGAGAGGGAGACAGAGAGAGAGAGAGAGAGAGAGAGACAGACACAGAGAGGGGGGGAAAGAAAGCGGACGCGCGCGCAAGCCCCACCAACAAGAGTTGCCACCACAGAACAGAAGGAAAGAGAAGAGCAGAACATCAGGAAAAGAGAAACCAGTTAGTATCTGGCAACAAACAACTGACTCAAAAACAAAGTATAAAAAGAAAAAGAGCTCTGGTTCTAGCTTCATCTTTGTCAATAACTCACTGTGTGACTCTGGGTCAGTACCTTCCCCTCTCTGGACCTCAGTCTGACCATCTGTAACATGAGGATGTTGGACTAGATGACCTCGCAAGGCCATCCCAGTGCCACTGCTCTAGCTGTCTAGCTAGTGGCTAAATCACAATTAACATGGCACAATAATGGTGTTAAGACTCCCCCAACCCTATCCACCACACCCACCCTACCAAATTCCAGGCCACCTAAGGACAATCCCATATGTTCACATCAGCAGAGCTCCCTGTTCTGCTCAGCCAGGAGGGCTGAGAGGCTTCCACCCCCACCTTGGCACCCAGCCCACTCTGGTATTCCTGCCCAGGAAACAGAACCCTAGGGCTGCACTGAGCTCCTAGAACCTTACCTTCATATTCTATCTGCAAAGCTGCCAACTGCTCAAATGTGGGAATGAGGAAGCCGTCATCCAAGAAAGCATCCAGCACAGCATTCCTGGAATAAGAAGACACTAGTTTAGGCAGGTACAGTGGCGCATGCCCGCAGTCCCAGCTACTCAAGAGGCTGAGTTGGGAGGATCATTTGAGCCTAGGAGTTTGGGACTAGAGTAGATAAAATAGGAAAATCTGGACTCAAAAAATGATGATGATGATGATGATGATGATGATGATAAGCTGGGCATTAGTGACACATGCCTATAATCCCAGCTACTCGGGAGACTGAGGAAGGTGGATCACAAGTTTAAGGCATGCTAGGCAACTTGATGAGACCATGTCTCACAGTTTAAAAAGGGCTGGAGGCGTATAACTAAGTGGTAGAGGCCCTGACTAGCATGTGCTAGGCTCTGGTTCAATCCTCAGTACTACAGAGCTTTAAAAAAAGAAAAGGACACAAGTCTAGCAAACTGAAGCTGATATAAGACCCAGAACTAATGTTCTCTGGTTCTTCAAGTGGCCAAGGCAGCATTGGGGGAGATGGGGCAGGTGACAAGGGGATCTTAGACTTGAGCCTCCTGGGGCCAGAGCTGGGATCAGTGGGTTTTGAACATACATTTACCAAGCACATGTTGATCTATGACCTGTAATGAGAGCAGTAGTGGCTGAACAAACAGATGGAGACAAGTCTCAGGCCCACAGAGAAAAGTTAAATGCCTGGTATCATGATAAACTTCAGTTCCTGTAGTCTTTTGGTTTCCCTTGGCCATTCTTAATCACTCTCTATTCCCCTACACACGTACCCCCATCTAACTGGCTGCTTTTTTTTACATCTTAGAAGTAAAAACTGTGGGGATTCAACTGCTGGCTAAAATATGAAATACAATTCATAGGCCCTCTTCTTATTATTATTCTTTTTTTGTACTGGGATTGAACACAGAACCTCACACGTGCTGGGCAAGTGCTCTACCACTGAGCTGTATATGCTCCCAGACCTCTTTATTTTATTTTTGAGACAGGATCTTGTTAAGTTTCCCAGGTTGCCCTTAAACTTTCGATCTTCCTGCCTCAGCCTTTTTGAGTAGCTGGGCATAGGCTCTTTTATTAGGAACTCTAAAAACCCAGAAAAAGTAAGATGGGATAAAGTAGACTATACAGGTAATCTCTAAACCCATCTAGCTCAAACCTAAACCAGCAACAGCAAGCTAATTGCTCCAGAACTAGTGGCTTTCCAAGAGCCCCTTCCAGCTGACCAGGCCTAGAGGGTGGAAAATAGGTCCCAGGGTATTCCAAAACCTGAAGCTCCCTCCCTCCAGCAGAGTAGGCCTAAGGAGGAATTGCTGTCTTTTTACCTCTCATCTTCTTAGGTCAGTATCCAAGAACACTTATAGCAGCCAACCTAACTGCTCAGCACTAGCAGTCATACTATGTAGGGGCACAAGGATACTTTCCCCAGCTGCTGGACAACTGCTAGCCATCTCTTTGCTGAAGAATACAGCCAAGAATCCTAGGCTGGGCAGACACTGATAAAAATACCTTTGGAAGTAGTCTTATCCTGGGGGTAAAGAGCAGACTGCAGGGGCAATCCCAACCTACATTGCAGGCTCCCCTCCAGGTCCAGTCTGGTACCTATGCCATCTACCCACATTTTGCTCCATCCCAGATTCCTTCCTACTCTCCTTAGTCTATCATTGCCTCCTCAGGTTATTAGTAAAAGCTCCCCTTTTCATTTGAATTTAGGTAGAATGCTCCAAGAACAAGGGATGAGAAGAGGATGGGTAGATTCTCTTTGTCTGCTCTCATTAAATTGAACATTATTTCTTAGGGGGGGAATAAGGCTCATGGCCATAGAGAAAAAGGAGCCTAGGGGCCAGGCTCTGACAAGGCCCTTCCTCTGTCCCCCAAACTACAACCACCAAGGTTGATAGCAATTTGAAAAAATAGACAAGGGCTGGCAGTGAAGTACTAAGGATCACAGACTTTTCCTACTTGCCAAGAACACCACATCCCACCTGACAAAAAGAAACAAAGCTGGTCAGGGGATGGATGACAGTGCATATTCATTCCTCTGGTCATTCTAGTGACTCACTGTAGGCAACCCCAAGCTAGAAGCTGGCAGGGCCAGAGGCAGAGGATCATGCAAAACACGGGTCACCATGTGAAGGATCAGGATTATCTCTGGGATTTTTCCTACAGCAGGTTGGCAAGGTAGGATATGGGAATTGATTTCAGTGAGGCTGCTACCCTCTATCCTAGTGAGTACCCAGCCCCTGGTTACCTAGCTACATACCTGTTTTCCCATGAAATGCCCTTGAGCTCTGCCAGGATGCCTTCTACACATGGGGATAGTTTATTCCACGCCTTAATAGCCTGAGGTAAATGCCTAAATTTCTCCAGCACCTGTTATCAAAAAAGGTTCCATCAGAAAGCTGGTTCTGTCAAGGACCCAGCCAGGCAACCTACCCCCAACCTCTCCAGGATCCTTTCACATAAGACTTTAGGACTGCCCTATGGAGACAAGGCAGGGCATGCAGGGGTGGGCCCACAACTCCCCTATTGGCTCTACCAATAAAAATCACATGACCCTTAAATGCCAGGCTTTCTCCTCCTCTCCTCACCCTCCTCCTAATTCTTCATGGCTCCCAATAATCAAATACCCCAATACTTTGATATCCAATGGAAGCATTTGGTTGGAGATGGGCAGAAACCTTTGGGCAAAAGAGTAAGGAATGAGGGCAGACAAGGTGTTACAGAAGAAAGGGAATTAGGAGACCCAGATTCTTATTATGCTATATCATTGGCTTGGGTCTGTCCTTTATTAATTCACAGCTTCAATTTCTTCTTTGAAAAGGCAGGGTTGAACTAAATCGTTTCTGAGCTACTTCCCTTCCAACTAAAACAGCACCCCTCAGGCTTACCCATCTAGGGAAGCTCTCGGGCCCCACCTGCTGGTAGACTACAAAATTACAGGACTGTTCAACTACCCATTCCCAGTTGTTCCCTACCACCCATAGGGCAGATTATCCACAAACTTCATCATCTGCTCCCTTCCATCGATGTGGAGGATCATCCAATTGGACTCTGCTGCTCTTGTCTCCTTCCTAGCTTCCCCCCTCTCTTTCTGAGAAGTTCCCTCATGTTTTGCCACTTTTCTTTCAAATTCCTTCTCAAGACTTCTCAGGTAGCTGGCAAGAGGGAAGAAATGGCTGGGGCAGATGAGAGCATGCCAAGTCAAAGGAACTTTTCTTACCTTAAACTGCTCCTCTTCATATGATACCAGCAAGTCTCGGGCTCTTTCTGAAAACAGAATAGGGAGAAATATAGGATACTACAGCCCCTGAGGAAGTGCTGAGCCAGGGAAATAACCAGTGCTAACCTAAGCCTGAACTTTCCAGGCTCATGGGCCCCTTTTTGCCCCCATGGACACCTACCATACAACTCCTTATGTCTCAGGGCCTTTGCCAAATGAGCATCCACCTCTTCACTGACTTTACTATCTCCATCAGCCCTGACATCCAACTCTGCACCTTTCCCATCATCCTGAGGCTCTGGTTTCTGTTCTTTGATGTCATCAGCAGTGTTCTTCTCTTCTTCTTGGTCCTCTTCCTCTGTCTCCATCTTGTCTTCCTCCAACTCCCAGGTTTCTCTCAGGCTGTTCTCTAATTGATGGCACCAGAAGGTCTTCTGGAGCCAATCCAGAACAAAGTAGCAACCTAGAGGAGGGGAAGAAGGAAGGCAGGGCCATAGGACAAGCTGCAGACAAGGAACTAGTAGGTCTCCAGTCCTATGGGTTTCTAGCCTCATTTTATAAGCATTATGGAAAAGCCCTAGAAAGAGGCTTGGCTCCAAGACTCAAATCTCACATATCCAGATACAGTCTACTTCCTTATGGGTTATCTCCCTGTTCTTTGCTTTCTCCTATTCACCAGCAGTTCCTTTCCTAGTCCTAACACTGGGTCTGAAAATGAGAAGCCAAAAACAGCAAGGAGTGGTAAGTGAGAGGACTAGGATACTACCCCACTAGCTAGTTACATAACCTTTTGCTAAGTCTCTTCCCTTTTCTAGATCTCATTAGAAGAGAAAAGGCTAAAACAAGGGGCCTTAAATGGGATGAGATGGATGTCCAAAGAACTCCTGAGTTCATGATACTGTGATGGCTAATGCCTCTTAATTTGCATCTCCCTCCCCTTTATGGTGAGGCTATTGAAGTACCACCTCAGGAACAAAATTTAAGGGGAGGCCAAAAAACTGTAATCAAGGCATCAAAACAGTACCCTGCCAAGTCACATTGGAGCCTGAAGCAAAAGAACTCAGTGATAATAATCCTGCTTTTATTTTTCATATTTTGTTCCTGATACATTTTTCCACATTAAAATGCTATTTATTTTGATCTCTGAGCTTTTGACAATCCCTTAAATTTTGTGCCCAAGGTGAGTACCTCACTTGATTCACCGTAATTGCAGCCCCAATGCCAAGTAAGAACCTCCTCCCTATCCGTATATCCCAAATGTCACCCAGCCAGGCCCAGAGGGCTGATATTAGATAATCCTCTGGGTACTCACCTCTGCGGCAATCATTTATATGGGGCATTTTCTTGTGGGTTAACTCATGGCGAAGTTCAACAACCCAATCTGGAATGTTCACCTGATAGGGAGCATAGAAATTTAAAATAGTATAGTTGGAAGAGACCCAGGGATAAACTAGCCTGAACATCCATCCCATTGTATAGATAGAGACACTGAGGTCTTAAGAGAAGATTCTAGTCTCACAGAGCCAAGATTAAAAACCAGGTCTCTTGATTATTTTTTACTACTCTGTGGAGGCTGTCTTAAAAATAAGAAAAAAAAAAGACACCCACCTACCCTAACCAATAACCACTCTCCTTCAACAGAGAGTTCTGTGAATTAGCATTAACAATTACCTTCTCCAGCCTCCCTTTCCCCCTTCCAGGTCCCTTTTACTCCTTCCTTTATCCCACACCTCCTCCAGGGAGTGTCTCTTGATGATTGAACATGCCTGCCCTCTGGGTCTCTGCACACTTTAAATACTCACTCAGGGCAGGAATATCTGGCATTTTCATGCTGCTTGGCTGAGCTCTCTCTTCCCTCAGACTGTCAGCTCCCTGAGAGTAAGTGTTGTGACTGCCACCTCTTTCCTGTCCCCACCCAGTGGTACATTGGTACATTCAGGCTACTCAGCTTCACTGGGCCATCCCCAGCAAGCTAGACTGGTCAAGTCCACTATACATACTGTGAGGAGCAAGGGAGCAATTCTGCTTCTTTTGAGCTGGAAGCTGAAGCTCTGGAGTTCTTGACAGGCTTGGTTACTAGTGAAGGGATGAGCTAGTCTGATTTTATATACACCTTACCCCATTCCCCATTTAGGGAGCCCTACTGAAGAAAGAGAATTGAGCAAGGCCATTTTATTATACGTACCTCCTGAGCCAGAGACTTGAGGGAGAGCTTGACAAACTTTGGCTTCCTCTCTGAGATAAGGTTCACAAACCTGGGTTTAGGGGGGAAATAAGTGGCATAGCCCAAGGAAAAGTTTCATCCAAAGCATCTTGTTGAATTACTGACAGCTTGCATTTCCACAACTTTCCACTAACTGTCCTGTTCTTAAGGTTGTTGCCAGCCAGAACATGGATAGTTCCATGCCCTCCAACATTTACAGAGTCTGCCCTATACTGAATCCATACAAATGAATAAGACACTGTTCTGGCCTTGCCAAGTTAAGATAGGATAAATAATCATGACATAATATTCTAAAACATAACATATCATAGATGTTAAAACAAAGGAAATTGAATATGGGGAGAACAGCTAATGGCAGAGAAGGTAAAAGGATGAAGGGAGGACCTCAAGGCAACAGGAGGGAACAGTATGAGAAAAAGCTTTGACACATGAGAAAACTCAGTGGCAACCTTTTTCCTGAAGTGAATGAGACAGCTAAAACCACTGAGTCATTTTGTTAAGTCAGGAACTCCCAGCCCAAGTCTTCACTTCCACAACTCAGCAACCTTTCAGTATTCATGGGGGAGAGAAAAGGGAAAAGGGTGGTGCCAGGTACAGATGGGGGTAAAGTTAGGAAATCCACATTAAATCACACCCAAGAGCAATAAAGCCATTCAAAAAAGTTCCTCTGGGTGAGGAATTGAAAATCAGGTGGAATAGATCTACAACAATCACCTGGTGTAAATCTCCATCCCCCCACACACACACACCCAGCCAAGCATATATTACAAAAGGGAAAGGAAAATAAAAAAGAAAAGGCTTTCAAATAAAAAAGAAATAAAAAGAATATATTGATGGGGGCGGGTTTCCAAAAGTTGTCAAGTCAAGCAATCAGGCTGAGCCACACTCAGGGACTCCCAGGGCTTTTTGCTTCAGGTTGTACCTAAAGCAAGCCTTGTTTATCACATGCTTGCCCCACCTTCAGATCCCAAACCGCCCCCCCTCCAATTTCTACCCCATGCAGGTCTTACCTGACCAATGCCATGCCATAGAGTAGTCTAAGTTCATCAGTGCCCAAGCCACCAGTTACATCCAGGAGCTTACAGCGTATCAGGTCAGCAGTAGAAGCCACTGCCAGAGGCAATTCGTTGCCTAACCTAAAGGGCCACAGTCCAGCACCATCATAAAGATCCTTTACACTGGTCCACCCTCTACTTCAGAACCTTGGTTGTTGCAGGATATTCCCATTATATACTGGCCCAAGAGTGCATGAAGACACAAAACAAAAAGATGGGAATGACTGGGTAATGTCTGTGGGATCCAACACAGGGCATTAGGAAGCTGGCTAGGATGTATACAAGACATCTGAGAAACTACCTATCAATAGTTGTGTGACACACCCTTCTTTAACCTTGCAACCCTCAATCATTCAGCTAGAGAAGCCCTGTATCCCTTGTTAGTCTAGCCCCAATCTTATAAACTGGACAGAGACACCCCACTTGACCATGGTTTTTCAGGTAAGACCCTCTCCCACTTGCCCTAATCAGCACCAGAAATCCACACTAGGATGTTGACTTGCTCCTTAAGTCCTCGCTCAGGCCCATTGCTCTCACCGGCTCCCTCCCCAAGAAAGGGTTACTTAATGGAGGTAAAAGTCAAATCTCACAAATATGACAAGAGGTTTGTTGAGACACACCCTCTTACTTTTCATCCACCAACGGAATTTGTGCAAGAGCTTGCCTGCGACTTTCCTCCAGGCACTTGGGAAAGTGGCATCATTAAGCGATTTAGGGGAGGACTTGAGAACAGGGCCTTTTAGGAATTTGACCAAGAAGAGGTGAAGCACCACCAGCACGCAGGCAAGAGGCCTGAGCCCGCCGCCTTACCTGCTCCTCCACACTGTGATGCGGTTCAGCGCATACCGCTGCAACTTATGGTCATCACAGAACAGGTAAACCGTCACCTGCTCCCACTCCGCCCTGCTGAGCCAGGCGACCACGATGCTTGGAGCCAAGAGTGGCGACGACCCTTTCTCTTCGACGCACTTTCCGTACCATGCACTCCACACGAGATCCATCCCCTGGAGATCCATTGCTGACCCTGTCCCAAATTCCCACCAGAACTGGGATAGATGCCTGGCCCAGAGCCACCGCGATCCGCACAACTTCAGCTCAATGTGCTACCCTCACTCCAAAACGCCGCCGTCCCAGCAACCAATGTGAGAGAATGACCCCAACACGAGCCCGCCTCCCAGCGTTAGCGTAGCAAATCGAAACGTGGGATTTGGAGGCTGGCTTTACAGCATGTGTGATTACTTCCTTGCCGGCCGGAAGTGTTCTTTTCACAAAACAGCCTTATCGAGCTGCAAGTGTTTAGCCTCTAGGTTCCGTCAATTTCCAGGTTGCTCTCGAGTTTCTGTCCCTGACCGGAAAGGGTGTGTCTGGACTACAGAAACAAAAATTATGTTGCGCCCCTTGGCGGCCGGTGGAAGGATTGTGGTCTGCTCGTATACTTCCTGGAAATGGGCTTTCAGGTATGTTATGATTTCCGTAAATCAGGACATAATTCAGTAAAACACTTTGGACACACGAAGAAGGAATACAGAGAAAATACCCATATCGTTACCGTTGGGTTTAAAAAAAAAAATCTGCTTTCTTGCCATGCCCGCCTGTAATCCTAGAGACTCAGGAAGCTGAGACACGAGGAGCAAAAGTTCAAGGCCAGCGCTGACAATTTAGGGAGACCCTGACTCAAAGAAAAAAGGGCTGGAGATGTAGCTCAGTGGTGGATAGTCCTTGGGTTCAATCCCCAGTTCTGGGGCGTGAAGGCGGCGTGGGGGGCGGGGGGGGGGGTGTCGGGGGATTTGCCTTCTTGGCAAATACCCAGGGGCCATTTTAAATTGGTACCAGCCTATTGCACAGTGATATGAGGCCCGAATGACTAGAATGAGAGTTATCTTCCACGGACAAGGCCTGGGTTCTAGTCTTATCTGAATCTTGCCGCTATGTGGTCTCTGTCCCTCTTTGTGTTTTAGTGTGTTTTTGTTGTTGTTGTTTGTTTGTTTGTTTGTTTTTCCATCTCTACTATGAGGGTTTTAGGCTGGTGCCTCGTTCTCTCCCATAGCTTAAAATTGTTGGATTTTTCTCTGCCAGCATTCCACTGCTGTTAGTTTCAACATCCACAAAACTATATATACTTAGTTTCTCAGCATTATTCCTTGGGATTTGAGGATTGTAGAAGGAAAGCATATCATGAAGCCCTTCTGATTTTACAGGTTGTCTAAAATATATTTAAGACTGTCTCAATCCTTTTCTCAGAAGTTATTTTCCAATTTAACACTTGAGAAAGAACAGTTGGCGAATTTTAATATTGCCAGGAGTCTCTTAACACTTTATAGCAATAAATCACAATTCATTGTCTGTATGTGCTGCTTTCTCCGGTCAACTTACCCTAGAATGTAATTTGCTTATGTATCTTTTAAGTCTGTATGTCTTTGCCCATCTCCTTATCCCTCCCTAGAACACACTCCTTCCTTCCCTCTTTCTGGCAAACCACTATTCACCTTTAAGATTCAGGATTCTAGTCTGTGGGGTGGTACATGCCTGTAATCCCAGCAGTTTGGGAAGCTGAGACAGGAGAATCCTGAGTTCAAAGCCAGCTTCAGCAACTGTGAGGTACTAAGGCAACTCAGTGAAACCCTGTCTCTAAATAAAATACAAAATAGGGCTGGGGATGTGGCTCAGTGGTCAAGTGCCCCAGAGTTCAATCCCTAGTACAAAAAAAAATAGATTCAGGATTCTAGCCAGGTGTGGTGGCACACACTTGTAGTCCTAGCTACTTGGGAAGCTGAAGCAGGAGGACTGCAAATTTGCAACCAACCTAGGCAATTTAGCAGGACCCTGGCTCAAAATAAAAATAACAGAAAGGGCTGGGGATGTGGCTCATTAATAGAGTACTTCTTAGCAGTGCAGGGCCCTGCTTGGTTCACTCTCCAGCACCCCACAAAATTTTGGAAGCTTTTATCAAATCCAGTTTCCCTGAGATAATCATCTGTGAGTCTGTGTAAGTCATGAGGAAGGATAGAGAGGGCCTTAGGGAATTTGCCATAGTAGTGTGGTCCTTTGCAGTTAGTTCATAAATAGTTCATGCCCTTCTCTGAACCCTACAACATTTTATATTTCATTCTACTTTCAGAAGGAGAGAAAGAAACACTTGTTGAATGCCTACATTGGGCCAGGACTTACAGAAAGTACTTGACAACCTTGAATTTCATCTGAACCAGCAGTAAGAGTTGATAAATCCTCCCACTCTTTTGTGTTCCAAAATTGAATTGCAAAGGACTACATTGCCCTGCTCTGGCAAATTTGCTAAGATAAAACTCTCTCCATTCTTCCTTGGGACTCCCTTAATACTCACGGATACCTCTTTTGTTTACCTGCCTCTATAAAGCTCTGAGTTTCCTTAATTGCCCTGTGTATTTTGTCTTTTCAATTAAGTTGGTTTTGTCTTCATTAATTTACAGATAAGAAAGCTGAACCTAAGCTACATGGTTTAAGATGGAACCATTAAGAAAGAAGGGAGCTGGGGAAAAAAATCAAAGAAAGAAGATGGGTACAGTGGTGCATACCTGCAGTCCCAGCTACTTGGGAAGCTGAGGCAGGAAGATCACGACTTCAACACCAATCTAGGAAACTTAGTGAAACCCTGTCTTAAAATATTTTTTTTATACTGGGAATTGAACCTAGGGTCATTTTACCATTGAGCTACATCCCTGACCCTTCTTGTTTTTATTTATTTTTATTTTTTTATTAGTTGCACATGACAATACAATGATCTTGACAATTCAGTGATCTTATTTTTATTTTGAGACAGGATCTCACCAAGTTACTGAGGACCTCACTAAGTTCCTAAAGTTGGCCTCAAACTTATTATCCTCTTGCCTCAGCCTCCCAAGTGGCTGGGATTACAGGTATGTGCTACCACACCTGGCTTCAAAATAAAATTTTAAAAGGGCTAGAGGGGTAGTTCAGTGGTAGAGTGCTTGCCTAGCATGCTAGTATATGTGAGGTCCTAGGTTCAATCCCCAGTAATGCAAAAAAATAATAATAAAATGAAAAGGGAAAAGGAAAAAAAAAAACCTGTTGATTTCCTCTGAAGTCCATGCTCTGCTACAACCTTTAGACAAGGGACTAAATTTACCTATATTACAGATCTGCATCCGAACAGACAACTTCAATGGCAGGGGCCCCCACTTCTGTTTAATCCTTATTTACTAAATGATTCCCAAATAAACCACATCAACTCTCAGTAAGATAGTGTTGCAGCATTTTTCACCCTTTCTTTTTGATAAGTATTAAGAACTCAAGCCTCTTTTTCATAAAATAATTTTCTCTTGTTTAGTCTCTTTCATACTGCAGTAACAAAATGATTTAGTTCCCCTCTGTGCTCTAAAAGCAAAACAGCACTATGGATTCAAAATTTCCACTCAATCCCTTAATCTACCTAAACAGGGCCTCCATTCCATTCTTCAAATTATGTATTCTTCCATGAAGTACAAGCTAGTTGAGACAGGAAGGATCATCTATTTTAGGAGTCTATCACTATCATTTTTAAATTTTTTTTTAATGTTTTTGTAGTTGAAAAGACAAAAGAATGGCTTTATTTTATTTGTTTTTATTTTTATGTGGTGCTATGGATGAAACCCAGAGCCTCACATACGCTAGGCAAGCACTCTGCCACTGAGCTACAGCCCCAGCCCCTCTATCAGTGTCTTTCTAAGGCAAGTACTTTTCAAATATTTTGGATCCAGACTCATTGTAAGAAAGACATTTTACTTCATGACTCTTTTCACACATACATATGTGTAACTAAAACAAAAGCTAAAAAAATACTTACATTTACTAAGTGCAATTTAAGCTGGCTATGGTGACAGTTGCCTATACTCCCAGCTACTTTGGAGCCTAAGTCAGGAGGATCACAAATTCAAGGCCAGCCTCAGCAATTTAGTGAGACCCGGTTTCAAAATAAAAAGGGATGAGGTTGTAAATCAGTGGTAGACCATTTTCCTAGCATGCACAAGGCCCTGGATTCAATCCCCAGTACTGCTAAAAATAAATAATTAAAATAAATGAACTAGACAATGTGAAGCGCACTTTTAATCCCAGCTATTCCCAGCTACTTGGGAGGCTAAGGCTGGAGGATCACAAGTTCAAAACCAGCTTAGGCAACTTAGCAAGACACTATCTCAAAATAAAAAAGTAAAAAGGGATTGAGATGTAGCTCAGTGGTAGAAAACTCCTGGGTTCAATCCCAAGTACTGGAAAATTTTTTTTAAAAAATGCAATTCAGCTCTGGGCCTGGGAATTTAGCTCAGTTGGTAGAGCACTTGCCTAGTATACACGAGGCCCAGTGTTGGATCATCAGCACCACAAGAGAAAAATGCAATTTAATTCTGGTTTACTTAGTTTCATTTTTTTAAAAAAATGCTACTCATCATTGCCATGTAATTAGGTCATGGACATATACAACTAGCACCTGAAATTCAAAACATCCCCATATTCATCCTAGACACCCACCTAATACAGTAATGAAACTACTCCTTACTCTCTATATAACATGACTTTGCAATTCATTATCATTAGCATGACATTACTTTTCCAGAACTCCCCTATTCAGGCAAATGGACATATTTTTCATTAAAAGATTATCACATCAACTCTTCAATGGAAAGCATCAACAGAGACTTTCAAATTCCGTAATCCTCTTTCCTCACCTCAAAATTCTTTCCTTGCTGTTTATACCAAACCTAAACGGTTCTATCATAATCCTTACCTAAATCTAATCAAGTCCCTGCATTGAAAGACCCACCTTGAGCATTACACTTCTCAAATTCTGGCCTGGCCTTCCACCCTCTGAGCCCAAGCTTTGCAAGATGGTATTTTCCTTTTCCCTGTAAGCAATAAACAGCTTTGTCTTATCAACAGCCTAGTAATATTTTGGAAGTCAGCACAGAATACAGATATAACATGGGGTTTGTTGTGGGTTGTGGGGAAACTTACAAGTAAGCAGAGGAGTGGCAGAGTACACATAGTCTCCCAAACTCTCCTTGTTCCATGGCGTAGTCTGGTCATAGATAACCTATATGAACTATATAGTCAGAGTACAAGCAAAAGGGACCTGCCTGGTTAGGCAGA